GCATGCGGATTTTCATGCGACCAAATATGTTGATTATGAAAATTTACCACTCCACGTCTAGTGAAGCATGACTCATCGGTCCATAACGTTACTTAAAAACTCCCTATTATTATCAATTCTATCAAGAATCCACTGAGAAAATGTGATTCTTCGTTCTCCGTCCCCTGGCTGTAGTCGTTGCACAGGTTGCAAATGGTTAGGACGTCTATGGTCATTTCTAAGAACACGGTGAACATGGCTTGCTGAAATTCCCAAGGCACCAGAAACTCTCCTAATACTTGTGGTCGGATCTCTATCAAACTCACGCAGAATCATACGGGTAAATCTGCGTTAACGAACATTTATGTTTTGATCCCTTTGGAGATTTCCAAAACCATTTTCAATTATTTGGCCATGCACTCTTACAAATACTGAGCAAGTTGGATGTCGTCTGTTTGGACATCTTCGTGCGTATTCTCTGGCTGCTTCTGCTACGTTTCCATTTACAAAGCCATACACAAAATGAATATCCGCTAACTCTTGATTGGAGAATAAAAATGGCATTTTTATAAAACTTACAAAAAAAAAACAGGTAAAAGAAACTAAATTTCGTGCATTCACAATTGCAAAAAAACGTTTCAGGTTTCAACAGACAACAAAACTAACTGTCAACTAATTGACGTTTAACCTTATTTTGCTTTCAATTTCAAAAATATTTGCAGGCACAGCCTACTTCTAAAAATTATCGAGATACTGACTTTTTAACGTTATTTTATCATAAATAATTAAAAATGAATCGAAATATCTCAAAAACGGCTAGCTATACCGAAAATTCACAAGAGAGCTTTTTTATGTTGAAAAGTGCGAAGAATCAGTTTTTTTATTCAAAAAGCAAAAAATTGCACTAAGAAAAAATTTTCGGTCATTTTAATACACTACAGGTACAGTAGAGAGCGCCCTCTAGCAGCTACAGTAAAACTATGCCCATGGTTCGTTTTGTCGTACCAAAAAACCCTTGTATACCAATTTTCACTGTTATACATCAAATATTCGTCGAAAAATTTAAAAAAATGTATTTTAGAAAGTAAATTTAAACACCCTTTATTTCAGAAGCCACGCATTTTTCGACCCATGTTTATATAGACTTTATGCATTAATTTTAAAAGTTCTATCGAATCTTAGAGTTATGCAACAATAAACTGAAACACCCTGTATAGGTGATTTTTGGTATATTAACTTCTTTTGACGAGACAAGCTGTTAAAATAAATTACCAAACTTTGAAAACACCCCTGTATAGTTAAAGCGGGCTAAAGGAGGCAGTTGAAGCTGAATTGCTTGAAATATGTAAGCAGTATGGCAGGTCAAAGTTGACAGTGCAGAACCGGTTTTTTTTGTTCATTTTTACCTAGTTTGTATGTATTTTTGATAAACATATCTATATTAAATGGGCTCGGAATGAGGGTCTTTAATTTATTTTCATCGAAGTCTTAACCCTGGAATACTAACCTTAATTTTTAATCCGTTAATACTAACCGTCGTAAAAATTACGATAGCGCTCTCAAATTAACGCACATCCAATGGATATCGAACTCTTTCTGACACAGTTAGACCACAGTACGGTGATAACACTGGCAAACCGGAAGACTAGACAAGAGCCCAGCGCAAATACGAGTAATTAATTGTACTGCGACGAGAAAATCACGACCAAGAAAATTGTCGCGTCGTAAAATTTATGCTGGTGAATATTCCCAGGTTAATGACAGCTAATTTGAAATTTCTATTATCTTACAAATTTTTAGATACGGTCAATCAAATTATCAAATGCTGTCCGACAACTGGAAAGTAGTCTGCCGAATATAAACACCTTCTTTTTTTTATAAAATTACAGGAATATCTATAAGCAATGTATTTGTTGTCGGCGATATTTTAAGAACATATATGATCACCGCCAAAAGAATTAGTCGTGTTATCTTGAACAGAAAATTCGTAATTGCACTTTGTATTCCACTGTCCGACCACTGGCACATTCACCCTACCACTAATTTGTACTTCATATGGTATTCATACCTTTGATATAATTTTTCTGCCTGAAACACGAAATCGAACCAAAATCCTAAACGCGGTTCAACAAACATTAAATCAAAGTCCGGCTCTGGTTTACGGCATTAAGTCCTAAAAATAACTGCACCCACACGACTGCACGCACTCATCAAGCTGAAGAGACTCACTCCAGTTTATCCACTGCGATATCACTTTATTTAGAACAGCACAACAATAACGCAACACGTTTATTATTGTTTATTAGGATGGTTACTGGTCATACGCACCTTTCACTGTTGCTGCTCATCTAACAATTACGAAAAGATTAGAACAACGACCTTTGAGTGTCAGCCTCTTTAAAATTCCCAATGTTTACTCGCGACATTACATAATCTTACTACGAAACGATGACTGCATGATAATAGAAGTTCGATGCGACTTTGTGAAATGTGAAGGCGTTCAACAGTCACCGGATTATGCTACGACGTTTTTTTTACATTTATGTAAAAACGAGAGAAAATATTTGTACGACGATTGTGAGCGCAGTTCGGATAGGAGGAGAACAACGCGATTGGGAGTAGGTACAAAGTGGTTAGCGCGTAAATACAGGAGCGGCTTTGATGTAACTTGTTGGTAATGCGCTTAAAGATAACTCGATTAGAAATTTGATAAGAGATAAGACAGAGGCGGGACGCAGATCTTCAACGGATAATCTTCATTACCCCGTAACTAGCGAGGTGTGGTCTGTGGTACAATAGCAAAGAACGTCCGCAACGTTCACTATCTACATTGGAGCAGCGCAAGGCTCTGTTTTGGCACGCCTTGTATTCATACTATACATGGTGTCAATTTTGATTTATAGAGGGACGTCTTTTCATCGATAGCCGTACAATACAGGGTGATCATGGATACCAGCAAGAACATTTAGCAACAGTCAGTGTCATCGTATGTCATAGAAGAACGTTCTCTTTTATTTCAAATTGTTAAGTTACCTACCGAGTTGTGATAAATATTGAACAATTCAAGAAAGGGTAGGAATGACAAAACTATTACCAAAATGGGAGCATTCCAAGAGCTTCTTCCTGGTTGTTTAATGCGTTAGCAGTCGTGGACTTGCTACTTCTGCAGGATTTACTTACTCAACAGTACAAACAATTCAGAAAGACAATAAATTTCACCCGTACAAGATAAAACTTGTCCATGAGCTTAATGAAGACGATTTTGATAGAAGGTTTGAGCTTTGCGAATTAATGTCCCAACGTTCAATCAACAATGCAAATCTATTATTTAATATTTGTTTCTCGAATGAGTGTACGTTCTATTTATATGGTGCTATAAATACACATAATTGTCGATATTGGAGTGACTCGAATCCACGTTTGTTTCGAGAGGTTCACTCGCAATATCCTGAAAACAATAAATGTGCGGTCTGGCATTTTCGGAAATCATATTGTATGACCTTTCTTTATTCCTCTAGTCCATGCAACATTCCCACTTCCAGATTTATTTGGAAGTTTATTTTACAACTTAACTTCTCAAAAAATGTTTCAGCGATATGAGGCTATATTAAAATGAAATGTTTGTCACGCCGCCGCTGCATTTCTTGATAGTCACATGTTTGTATTCTTGAAGATATCGCTGGAATAAAAACTGTATTGGAACTGTAACAAAAATAAAAAAAAACATTTATTTGTCTTTGTTGTATGGTTAATTATAGAACGCACCAATTACTATTTATAAATAACTACAAGGACTTCATATGTTGAACGCTTCAATATTCAAATATTAACAATTATAATAGAGAATGTAATACTTTTTTCTAATATTCGTATACAGCAACAATAGTAGCAGTTTACGAATGATTTTGAGATCAAAAACGAAAAAATCAAAAGTTTCACAAACGTACTTTTGATGTTTTAGAGCATGGATTCCCAAAGTGGTCTATATCGACCCCTAGGGGTCTATGACAACCTGCAAGGGGTCTACGTCAGCGAAAAAAAATTTGGGGGTCCATGAAATGAATATGGGGGTCCACGATAGTGGATCTCAACACATACACTGATAGTACCTATTTACTTACATCATACTATCTTATAATATAACATATACATTATTTATAAAAGTACCTATGAAATGAAAAATTTATTATATATGTTTATAAAATTGTGTAAGTTGTAGGATGTTGGTATTCGCTTTGTGGTCGCAATATATTTTGAACTTGTAAAAACCTGAGAGTCGCAGTCTCAGAGCTTCGCTACCTTGCACTGACTTGTTCAATTCGTCACTCTATAAATACGAATGTGGGACAAATACGTTTATTCGTTGCCTGAATCTTGAAAAGGAAAGTGCTAAGAAAATATTTTAAAAAATATAAACAGATAGTATATCACACAAATTATAGTGAGTCAGTGTTATTTTGTTTGAGAGTGCTGGAGAAAAGTAAGTACATTATTTTTTATTAAATTTTAGTTTTGTACTCGTAGTTAGCAAAGATAGATAAATTACGCCAATCATGACTTAAGTTATTAGTAGTTAAATATTCAATCATGCAAAATTACACGAGTACTCCTCAATAGTTTCTTTTTGAAAGTTTTAGCAATCGGTAATATAATTACAGTGCAATCTCCGTAATTCGAGCTAATTGTTGCAAGAAGATGTTCGAATTATGGAATGTTTTCGGAAAAATCAAAAAATATTTTTAATATACAGCTGCTGGATTTTCTGTCTTATTTAAATAATTTAATTTTGCCCACAGATGACTGATGCCATGTCCGAATCTAAAAAGAAATGTAGACAGTACAGTGTTGATTATTTGAAATTTGGCTTCATTCCATCATTGCCGGACAAACAATCGTCTATGTGCCTTTTATGCAACAAATGGGCAATGACGCTATGAAACCATCTAAACTGCAAGATCATCTGAGAAGATGCCACCCTGATAAAACAGAGAAAGATTTGAAATACTTTCAAACACTCAAAGATACATTGCGTCCTCCATCGACAACATTTAGTTGCTAAAAATTTGAGTGTTAGATTGCATGAATCACTTCATTTAGTCATTGATGCAGTAAACCGAATCCGAAGCAACGCGTTGAATACGCGGTTATTTGCGCAGTTGTGTGAAGAAAATGACGAACACTTTCATCAATTACTCCTTCACACTGAAGTACGCTGGCTGTCGAAAGGCTTATGTTTGACAAGATTTTTTGCACTTTTTGAGACTATTTTAGAATTTCTGGATTTCTGGATACTAAAGATAAAATTTTAAAAGAAAATTTAATGAAGAGGAAAACAGATTTAACAGATTTGTTTACAAAATTTAATATGGTTAATTTGCAATTACAAGGCGAAAAATATTGACTTATTGCTTATGTTATTTTATTTATAGTTTATTTTATGTTTATTGGTGTCTGACCAATAAATGCCCGCATTGGGAATAAGTGCCCGCATTGATTTTTTTAAAGAGCCCCCCTTTATAGAAAATATATTTTTTTTAAATTATTCTGAAAATTCAAGGATACACACTAAAATTCGTTAATTTTTTGCCTATTTTTAGATAACTTAAACGTATAAGAAGCGGAATTTAATCAAACTAACAGTGTAGATTGTAGAACATACGTTTATGTTATAATTAATAAACGAACTCGCTTATTGTACTATTTTAAGTAAAAAACTTTTTTTGTTGTTCTCGGTTGAGTTCCATTTTTCTAATGACTTGGTGACACTTAAAAATTCACTGTAGTGAGAACACTGCACGTATTGTTGTGAAACTTTGAATTTAAGTTCACTAAAGTGTGAATTTAAGATTCAGTATTGACGTTCGATCCGCGCGACCTACTATATTTCTTTATGCAAAACTTAAAAGACATCCCTCGTATGGTACGAATTCTATTCTCAACCTGTGTGGGCATATTGCGGCGTGATAAAAAATTGACACTACCAAATTTATAAGAATTGTTTAGGTAGGCCTTCCGAAAACATTTAAATTGCAGGGTCTGACAAAGTTGTTTTCCTATGAGCGCGTTAAAGAATGATGTTTCTAAAATGCTGCGGTTGCTGAGTCCATCTACTTGCTTGACGTCGTAAAACGAAGTGGATGTCTGCTGGGCTGTCGAAGTGTCACCTGTCTCGTTGACGTTTGACGATGTTTTTAGGTTATGTATATTTGTTGTTGTCAACGTCAGCTGTAGCAGTTTTGAATCAACATCATTTTATTGTGATATTAGTTTAACGAAAAATGGACATTACAACACTATTCAAAGCCTGTGTGAAAACAGTTCGCACCACAAACAAGAATCTCGGCGTGAACGATACAAAGACTAAAATTCTGCAGAGCCACAGAGACCCACATTTGACGAAAGCTAAGGAGATTGTAAAGAAGGTCACCACTTTACGACAGTTCTTCACGGAAAATAAAGCGGCTTACTTGAACGTACTAAACTACTTATCTACAAACAAAACAATGACAGAAATAGATAGGCAGAAAGTAGATGAAATGGCCGAGGATATAATAAGCAACTGTACAAACCTGATAAATGAATACAAAAAAGAAATATCCAGTATGCCAAAGAGCAAACAGGAGGATGAGCATTATCAAAATATTGTAGAAAGTTTGCAGCTCTACTTGAAGAATGTATCTAGAATCTACACAGAAGCTAAGGCTGTCAGGGTGAAAAGGGTAATCGAAACGCATAAATTGTCCAAATTGGAAACTAAACCAACTACCACCCCAAAATCTTCACTTGAAAAGGTCCAAAAAGTTGGAACACCTTTAGAAGAATCAAAAATACTCTCATCGCAACCTCCTTCAATTAATTATGATGACCAGTTATCAGCTGAAGAGATGCAGATGTTTGAGTCTGAGAACGAGCTGCTTTACAACGAACTGAACAGCATTTCTGATGAAGTGAAGCAGATGGAGAGCAAAGTCGTGCACATCGCAGAGTTGCAGGAACTGTTGACAGAAAAAGTATTGCAGCAAGAACAGGACATAGATCGGATAGCAACGACAGTCGTAGGTTCAACAGAGAACATGAGAGAGGCCAATGATCAAATCAGACAAGCCATCCAAAATAATGCTAGCCTTCGGGTGTGGGTGTTGTTCTTTCTTTTGGTGATGTCATTTTCTTTGCTGTTTTTGGATTGGTATAATGACTGAAATTATGTTTGTTGGCATATTATTTGTATTTTAATAAATGTTTTCATTATTTTCTTCATACTCTTTTCTTACCATGTTGAAAAGAATAGTGTGGCCATGAAATTGGACACTTGTCAACAAAACCGTCATCAATTTTGAGTCGATATTTTTCACTGAAATAAAGAATAGCTGCCATCTAAACATACTGATTTTGTGCATCTGACCACAGAGTCAACCATGGACAGATGTTTTGCGCTTTTTGGCAACTCTTCAGCATTGTCTAGGCTTGGAATCAGGTCGGGGCAATGAATGAAAACAGCACCTAACCTCTATCTGAGGTATAATATCTATCGAAACAAGACAGTATAAGGTGCCATCTATTGCCAGAATCGCAGTTTTTCGCTGCCTTGTTTTAACAGTTAGCATGTTATACCGAAGCAGTAAAAGAAGACAAAAGAAAATTTATTTGTCAGACTGATCATAAAGTGGGCCACTTCAGTTGGCCCAACTATTGAAATGTTAGTTTTTTTCTTATCAAACACAAATAATAAAAATGTAGCAGAGTGTTATAGGTTTAAAATATTAACAATGAACATTTTGATAATATATAGTAGAAAACACCAACTTTATCACTCGCTAATCAAATTTGCAGCATAAAAATAACACATGTTGCAATTACAGCATATCAACCTATTTTCATTTCAATGCAAAATAAGTCTATAACGCATAGGTGGCTGTGAAAAATATACTAAGTGACATATAAATCCGAACACCCAGTTTAAATGGTTTTATTTTAATAAAAGTTGGTGAATGTATTTATGTTACTGTAAATAACAAGTGAAAAAATTTTCAGCCTTATCATTTGGACATTCCGGTTTTTATACTGCTTTTTTTAATTCACTAACGCTCTAAAAATGAATATTTCAACCGCAGTAAAGAATCAACGTTGGCGGATTTTGGTTCTTGACATCCTTTACGATCGGTTACGATGCCTAGAGTACGGAGACCTGTACGATATCGTCAACTTAGTGAGTTTGATAGGGGCCGTATAGTGGGACTTCGGGAAGCTGGACTTTCTTTTCGGGCAATTGCAGTTAGAGTGCAAAGAAGTGTAGACACTGGTTAGGTGTTGTCAGGCATGGCTTCGAGAAGGCCGTACGCAAAGAGCAAGGGGCACTGGACACCGCCGTAGAACAACAGACCGTGGAGATCGCCGCCTAAGATTATTGGCCTTAAGGGACCGTTTCTCCACTACCAGGTCCATTGCAAATGAATGGTTTGCAGAACAAGGAAGACCTATTGGCATGCGAAGTGTTTACCGACGAATGAGAAGTTTTGGCTTGTTTTCATACCGGCCACACTGGGTCCTCCCTTTAACTCGAGAACACCGACGTAATCGCCTTGAGTGGTGCAGACAACGGTCACTCTGGGATTTTGTTTAGGCATGCACGATGGTCGTGCCAGGGTTAGAAGGCGACGTGGTGAAAGGAGGAATCCACAGTTTTTTGTTGAAAGTCATGTTCATCACACTGTTGGAGTTATGGTTTGGGGTGCTATAGTTTATGGTTCCAGGTCACCTTTAATCTTCATCAGAGCTAACATGAACACGCAGCATTATATCCACGAAGTTCTAGAACCCCATCTTTTACCCTATGTTGACACCCTGACAGATCCAACTTTCCAACAAGATAATGCCCGACCACATGTTGCAAGAGTCACAATAGACTTCTTTCAACATAATTATGTCACTTTGTTATCATGGCTACCAAGATCTCCCGACTTATCCCCAATTGAGCACGAGTGGGATATGATGGGTAGGAGATTGCTCAATTTGCAACGTCCTCCTCAGACTCTAGAAGCACTTCGAGAGGAGTTGATGGTTGCCTGGAATGAGATACCACAGGAGGACATTGACCACCTGATCAGAAGCATGCCTAGGCGCGTTGGAGGATGCGTAGCACATCAGGGTGCATCCACATATTATTAAAGGTCAAAGGGCTTTAAAGCAGTGCAATCATTTTGAAATTTTTATCATTTACTTATTATGCTTCATTAAGTACTTATACAAAATTTTATTAAAATAAAACCATTTAAACTGGGTGTTCGGATTTATATGTCACTTAGTATAAAAGCCATGACAATTGTTTTTATGTCAGAATACCTTTAAAATAGTTTTGGGTAGTTAAGGTTTTCAATGGGTAGAGGAAAGGTTACTAGTGAGAAAATAAGGTAAATAATGGTTTTTCTAATTTTCTCGAAAACGAATCGACTGATTTTAAAGAATCAAATGTCAAAATTAAGGATTTCGAAATCCCCGTTAAACAACCTATTACTCGATACCCCTTGTCATTTAAATTTTTAAGGGGCTGACCCTGGGGTTCAGAGGGTGACGTTTCTCGGCGTTTTTTCATGTAATCACTGGTTTTCAATAAATTTGTGGTGGGAAGTTTTTTCTTTTATGATGACTATTCAAGTTATTTTAGAAGGCATGTGAAAATGAAGATTTGCCTCAGAAAAAATAAATTTATTTCTCAATAAAAATAAACAAAAAGCACAGTTTTTAAATAATCTGTCTGAAATAAAGGAAATACTTTTTGTAACATTAAACGTACTTTGTTGACTAGTAGAAGCTTATTTAAGTCTATAACATAAAACAATTTTATACTGTACAATATGAGTGAAAAAAATCACATTAGCAAATACTTAAAGGAATATGAAGGTTTTCCATTTTTATTGTAAAATATTAACAATATCTTCTTTACAAAAAATGCTTTTACAACTACCAGAGATGTACACGTCAGAACAAAACTATCTGCATATACAAGTGTAATTATTCGAATGTATGACACAATACACAATGCAATGTATAGACAGATGAAATATATTTGGCTTGGTGCTAATGTTTAATATATTTTTCCTCTTCATATCATCGTCGTTTTGACGAAAACTCCTATGCGTTTAGAAGCAGTTTTCACAGAATGACATAAAAACTCTTTTAAATCTAAAAACTATATAGATAGAGGCCAAGCCATAAAGTACCAGGCACAAAACCTACGAAATTTGACCATCGGTCAATTTCAATGAAAATTCATATACTGACAGTTTATGTTGCGATGATCAAATGTTCCAAAAGGCGCAAGGCCCTGAAATGCTTTCTGTTGGAAATACAAGGTGTTGAAGTTTGTGCGTTAGCTGCTGCTGATAAGCTTGCCTGCAGCATTCTACGAAAATCAACACATCTTCATTGTAATAGTATAATAAAAATCACCAGAACACATAAAATAAAAGTGTCCCAGCGGAAATGGAAATTTCATTGATAGAAAAACTATAAAAAATATTCGAAAACGATTTGCGTAGCGAGATTGATAAATTATAAGTGTGTATTCCTAAATTATTAGGATATGTGCAGGGTGTTGTACAGGTTCGTGGTACAAAAAAATGATCCATTTTTTTTATATATAGGGTTGTCCAATAGGGACGCAGGAAAGTAAACGTCAATTTGACATAGACGCCATCTTTGTTTTCTGTCACCGACATGTCATTTTGTTAGTTGAATGTTTACCATTGATCGCTATGGAGTTGTATTCGATTGAAGACCGCATTAAAGTTATTCAAGAGCACTACAAAAATGGTGCAAAAATAAAAAACACGTTTCGCGCGCTTCGTGAACATTTCGGTCGCAACAACCGCCCAAACGTGTATTCCTAAATTATTAGGATATGTGCAGGGTGTTGTACAGGTTCGTGGTACAAAAAAATGATCCATTTTTTTTATATATAGGGTTGTCCAATAGGGACGCAGGAAAGTAAACGTCAATTTGACATAGACGCCATCTTTGTTTTCTGTCACCGACATGTCATTTTGTTAGTTGAATGTTTACCATTGATCGCTATGGAGTTGTATTCGATTGAAGACCGCATTAAAGTTATTCAAGAGCACTACAAAAATGGTGCAAAAATAAAAAACACGTTTCGCGCGCTTCGTGAACATTTCGGTCGCAACAACCGCCCAAACGAAACAAACATCGGTCGTCTGGTGCGTAAATTCGAGGCAACAGGTTCTGTGGCAAATTTGCCAGGCTCGGGCCGGCCAAGGAGCGTTCGCACACCGGAAAATATTGCTGTTGTGAAGGAGAGTGTGAGAGACGATCCGAAACAATCAACAACGCGTCGATCCCAAGAATTGGGCATTTCGAGAACCAGTTTTCTCCGCATTCACAAGGATTTGAATGTACACTCCTACAAGATCCAATTGACGCAAGAGCTGCGTCGGGCCGACCATTTTTCGCGCCGAACGTTCTCAGATTGGCTCCTTGAACACCGCCAAATTGATACGGTAGACAAGCAAAGCTGGCGCATCTGGGCGAACGAAAATCCCCGTGAGTATCAAGAGCAGCCGATGCATCCTCAAAAAGTGACTGTGTGGTGTGCATTGTGGTCAAAAGGCATCATCGGACCTTACTTTTTCGAAAATGCGTCCGGGGACGCCGTTACCGTCAATTCTGAGCGATATCAAGTGATGATAGAGGACTATTTTTTGCCGCAACTTGAAGGAATGGATATGGACGATGTTTATTTCCAACAAGACGGTGCAACATGCCACACAACCGTCAATATCCATCGATTGCAGTCCTTCTTCGGTGATCGCGTGATTTCGCGCAGAGGAAATGTGCCATGGCCACCAAGATCGTGCGATTTGACTCCCTTGGACTTCTTTTTATGGGGATATTTGAAAAGCAAAGTCTAAGTCAACAAACCAGCCACCCTCCAAGAACTCAAAAACATCATTGTCGAGATAAATGCCATAGAACCGACCATGTTGCAAAATGTTATTGAAAATTTCGACCATCGCGTGGACGTCTGTAAATCCAGTCGTGGTGAACATTTGAGCGATATTATTTTTCATACATAACTGGTATAAATGAACCTTCAAAATAAAGTACCCAACTTGATTTGAATATCAATCTTTCTTGTTTTAATATGCGTTTACTTTCCTGCGTCCATTTTGGACAACCCCATATAATCTAATAAAGCAGTATGAAACCGGATATCAGCAGAAACTTGTAAAACGGGAATCTGATGTGTAAAAATATACAGGATGTACCATTTACAATATTTGAGAAAAACGTTTTGTGTTGACAAAGTTGACGTAATTTTTCATCCTCTTTCCAAAATTTAATGAAAAACTACGCAAAATGGCAAAAGGCATTTGTTCAGGCAGATCTTTTATGCAATTGTTATTAGATTCTTTGGATTAAACAAATAGAAATGTAACTTTATTGTCTCTTTTTTCGTATCTTGCTTCGTTTTCGAAAAAAAGTCCACTTAATTGCATATCCCTGGACCACACAAGGAATATGGGGAAAAGTTTCTTTTGGAAATTAAAAATTTATAAAAAAATATAATTTCAAATAAACTGTTCCATATTCCTTGTGTGGTCCAGGGATATGCATTTAAGTTGACTTTTTTTTTCTCGAAAACTAAGGAAGATACAAAAATAAATCAAGAGACAAAAAAGTTGTATTTTCATTTACTTAATCCAAAGGATATATTAAAAATTGCACAAAAGTCAGTGGCGTACATTTTTTTGTCACAAATATTCGTTCAGATCCCGCCCGAGACGCCAGTGGACTCAATAAATTTAATCAATTTAGGACTAAATTAGTTCCCTAATGGTATGAATACCAACACCAAATTACAAAAAAAATAGGTAAAGGATATTTAAGATTTTTTTTTAAATTTAATACCCTATATCTGGAGAACAAAGAATTTCCGGACCTATGTTCATATGTTTGTCTTTGAATTCATGGTACACACTTAACACTGTGTATAATATAGGGTGTTCTATTAAAAAAACATTGTTGTATCACGAAATTGTGCAACACCCTGTATATTTCCAAATAGTTCAGATACACACCTATAAGATGCTAATATTATTGAGCAAGCCGTTTTCGAATATTTTATGGAGCCTTTCTTTTAAACAGCTTTCCATTTTTGTTGGGGACACCCTGTATATCTTGTAACAGTTCACGAGATTTTTATATTATCATTAAATTGCCCGAGAACATTAAAAACGAGTCAATTTTCGTAAAATAGCGCAGGCAGGCCTACCCACAAGGTACCAAAACTTTAACAGCCTGTATCTCCAATATAAAAGCATTTCTGGGCTTTGCGCCAATTGGAAAATTTCATCAGCACAACTTAATTACTATTATACGAATTTTGAAGTTTGACCTGTATCAAACTAAAAATAACCACGTAAAACATCAGATTGATAGATTTGAACCCATAGTGATAAGTTTTGCAATACTTTTGCGTTGCATATCATTGTTGAAATTACTGTATCCAAAAAATCAACAATCTTCTAAATGTTATCATTTTTACTATATCAACATGTACGACCTCTGTATCTATGACAAATACAGCTAATGTTCAGATATATTTTCATGTATGCCGATAGTTTTGAACATAATGTAGAGATAACATGTGCATATTGTACACGAATTGGGGTTGCAAATGAGAGGCTAACAAGTGTTTTCTATAACTTCCTTTTGAAGGAGACACAACCTTAATGACAACAAACAATATATAATGGCAAATTCTTAACAATTACATAAATTTTAATTAAGTGTGTTTGTGGTGTACGATAAATGGCAGTATAATATTTTCCTATTAAGCTAGACAGATTTGAGTTTTACAATTTTGTATAAACATGTCATCAAAAATAATTGTTATTAAGAACAGCCGCATAAAATTTTTAGAGATCCAAGTAGTCTAAAAAATAACACTAACGAAATATGAACTCGTTTTTCGCTTATCTCTATCATGTCAACAAAGAAATACAACAATCTTCTTTTTTAATCTTAGTAATAACAAAAAACTTAAAAGCTCAGTATTTCCACCTTTTCTGTCATTGCAACGTCCAACATATCACAAACGCTACTTCAGTAGTACACCTTAACAGTTAGTGTAAAATGCATAAAAAAGCAAAGTTTCAGTACAAAAAAAGTATCTCACTAAAAGCGAATCAAAAATAGGATGATGTACAAGAAAAGATGAAATGAACGCCAAACATGTCAAAGGATACATTTTGATGAACTTTATTTTATAAGTATCGTCGCCAACTGTTTGAAAAGCGAAACGCGTATCTATCATATCAAATACCTCCAGTTTTCGCCAGAATGCAGTAAGTAGATCAATCTACTGATGGTACAAAATAGTAATACATGCAACTTTGCTTTAACTTTTTTGCGTGTTATTTATATGTTATTACTATTGCTTATATGCACCACAATCGGCATTTTTCTCTAATGCATTCTGTTTCAACCCCAAGCTAAAAACAGTTTTACTGTAATGCTTTGAAAGCAGTTCTGATCAAATTCAACAGTTTACGGGCTGGCCACAAGACGTTCGCCACAAATATACAAAGAATGATTGCGAGTAAGCTGTTATTTGTGCCATGTCTGCATTTAAATGATCACGTGTGGCTTTTTTATTATCTCGTGTGGGAAAAGTTTCTCTTGAAGAGCCATATTGGCAAGATATCAGTAGACATGTGACCTTGTCGTCATTTTCACATAACACCTACTTTATAAGCGAATCTTTAATGCTAAAGGTTTGTCTCAAGTTTGTAGCGCCATCCCTGGGATATACTCCGAACTTTTCATAGAACCTATACGAATTATTATAGAACCCTTTAAAAAAATAGAATACCCAGCGCCATCTTTGGACTTCGCTCTTACACTGTGGAGCTATATTCGAATTAAATATTCAAATTATATACAAGATATTGAGTAAAATGAGGTCATCTTGATTTTATTTTTAAAATGTGTAATTTTTTTTAATACTACACATAAAAATTTACAATTAGCAATTTCTCTACTCCCTTCATGACTTTTCGGGACTACTCTACACATTTTCCGAAAAAATAATTGAATTTCATTATGTCTATGCTAGACGAGTTTTTCAAAAAACTGTGCAAACCGTAAATACTGTGGAAGTTTTCAGGACACCAAAATATTTGAATCATTTAATCCTGAGTATTCACTGATTACATAGTGCAAGTATACAGGGTGACTTCGAAGTTGAGTCATTTATTTTAACAGTGAGTAGATCTGATCAAAAGAAATGTTTTTTCCTTTACCATTTTTCTGGTAAAATTAAAGTAACAAAGTTATAGCCCTTTGGAAGTTTGAGTACCGCCCTGTCTCAATAATAATATTATGTGTTTGGCAACAACGGATATCGGTTCATCGCATTGGAAACAAAAAAGCGAAAGAATTTGAAACGTTTATCACGTTGTTTTTCGTCAGTCGGTAACGCGTGGGTGAATAGTGATGTTTGTTGCGTGACTCAAACGAAATGAAAAATGGCACATGTTTACGAAAATGCTGAACTTGTGGACAAGATTCTTATTTACGGGGGGGCAGTCTTTACAAAATGCTGCCGGATGCATCACGGATTTATGCGAATCGGTTTCCCAATCGAGTGCAACCAACCCCTCGTGCCTTTGTTAATGTAGTACAAAGGGCTCGTGAATCAGGTGCCTTAAGACCTCACAGGTGACAGCATGCCGGTGCTCCAAGACCGCACGATCAAATACAGGTCCGCACTGAAATACTTGTCGGGAGGATACTTTATTAAACAAGGTAACATTTTTATTTTATTTTTACACACATATTTTGGTTTATCTTCCTTCTACAATCATTATCTGAAAATTAATGACTCAACTTCAAAGTCACCCGGTATAGGAAGAGTACCAGGGAAATACGGCTATGGCTAAATTGAGCTTTCAGTTTATTTTGGTGGCATTTTCCTGATGCTATCTTGTAATCAGCTTCATAAATTGTAAAAAGGGCTTAGGTTCACAAAACAACTATAAGATTTCCTGTGCCGGGGAAGAATGGCATGAGTCCCTGCGCGTGTATGGAAAAACGGCATCGGTCCATGTGAAATCTAAATATCGCAAAATTACACAAAATTTATCTATTGGCAATGTTGATAACAAGATTTCCTATGAATCCTTCCGAGAAATCTTTGAAAACAACTTCAATATACCGTTCGGTTATCTACGAAAAGATACTTGTAATACGTGTGATTCCTCAAAAGCTGATATATCTTCACTTACTGCTACGGAACAAACTAGGCAGTCAGCAAGTAATAATTTGGAGAAAAAACAATACTTGAGAAGACATTACATCAAAAAGGAGTGAGCGATTTTACAGTCTAAGGATAACTTACCGCAAAAGTGCCTCGAAGTTCCCCGCTATCGAAAGTATCACAATGGATTACCAAAAAAACTTATTGCTATGAAAGGAGCTGACGATGTCTGTTCTATGCTGTATCACTTTTTTTATAACATCCTGCCTATGGAAGCGAAAGAACTTGCCATTTCCCGTGACTCCTGTGCAGGGCAAAATGAAAACTTTACAGTTATTCGGTTTTTCCATTACTTGGTTACCAAGAAAAATCGTTTAAAGTACTTTCCGAAAAATTTAAGTCACACATGTCTTTTATAAATTTGTTCGTGACTTTTATCGTCCAAAACTGGATTTCGCACTTGCTCGATCCATTTGTTAAAACATCTAATTTTGGAAATGTATGCCTTTTACCGATTGTATCAGTACGACCAGGCACCACGCACTTTTTAAATCCCCGCTTTCGATAAGCCTCCGTTTCAAAGATTAAGTTTGTGAATTTAAATTCATTTTAACGTTCAATATTAAAAATATTATTATTAAAATTCAAATTTCAATTCTAAATTACGAATACATTAACGTCAAAAATATTGGACTATCAAAAAGAACGACGGGAAAATCCAGCATCAGCGCCACTTTGTGGTTGTACTCCGTACTAACTATATAAGATTATTTGGTTGCCTACCAAGCATACCTTCAAAGTCACTCATTTAACTTTCTTTTATAAAGCAGGTGTTATGTGGTCATTTTGTCTTCAATTCAAATCAACTAGTCAACATCAACATCTTGCCAGAAATAGCAAGCTGGTCCAAACTCGGATAGCCCTGTAACTATGAACAAAATGACATCAATGATATATGCCTTTTACTACTTTCTTCTACGGTGAACGCCCCCGTTTTATATATCAGCTTATTTCGCGCCAAACATCTGTCAACCTGACACACCTCCCAGTCGCAACCCATGTCTCTTAAAGCTTAAGTATATCATTGCCGCGCTGTCCGTCGTCAAGAAAATCTGGCACCGTATGTTTTTCACATTTTTCACAAGTTGATGGTGTCCAGATCTTGAATGGGGGCTCTCTGGGTGTTTTCAGGTTGCGCGAGTGGTGCACTTCCTTCGCTACTTTTTCTGTTGTGATGGTGGTGGCTGCCACCTCCGCTGCTATTCCCGCCTCCGCCACCACCTGGAACAATTTTTCGCATTGAATTACAGTTTTTTTCAAGGTTTATACGAAATAAGAAGGTTGACTAATGGTATTAGGTTGTTCGGAAAGTTCTTGCGGTTTTTGTTATAAATCGATACTAACAAGTGCGACAGTGTAAAGATGTGGAAAACTTTAAAAAGTCTGATCAATTCGAAGCCGCATGTTTGTGTAAATCAAGTTCAATTCGAAAACGGTACCGAAACAAATTCTCTGGCGATTGCAAACAAACTAAATGAAGATTTTGTGGAAAGTATTGTTGATATTGTGGGTACTGCCAATGCTGCCCTGACTATATGAAAATCAGTTTCCAGGGACAGGTGTTGCATACACTTTCAAAATTTCATAGCGTATCTAAGAAAAAAAGTAAACAGTTTAAAATCAAATAACAACTGTGCCGAAATAACGTAAGTAAAAACGTGCTGAAAAACTGTTTCGAAATTTTGGGATATTCTGTATTAAATTGGATCAATTGTTCACTGAGAAGCAGTTCTTTTCCTGAAAATTTGAAATGCTCTATAATAACACCAGTTCCCAAAATAAAAAATTCTAAAAGATGCACCGATATGAGACCAGTAAAAGTGTTACCAGAAATTGAAAAATTATTAGAGTCCATAGTGCATGACCAATTAATGCAGTTTATAGAAGAAAACAAAAATGTTTTAGATTGGTTTAGAAATTATTTGTCTAAAAGGATGCAAGTTACAAAAGTTAATGACACTATTTCATCAAAAATTGAAAATACGTTGGGTGTTCCACAGGGCAGTATCCTGGGACCACTTCTTTTTATTTTATACATAAATGATTTACCTGCCATAGTCAAAAGATGCAAAATTCAGATTTTCGCCGATGACACTATGATTTATATAAGTACTAACAGACTCAAATTAAATACAAGTAAAACGAAAGCTATGTTGATCGGAAAAAATAATGTACAAATGTTCACCTGAATATTGATGGTGAAGATATTGAATTCATAGAAAATTTTAAATACCTGGGAGTTTTTGTTGACTCTCGATTAATTTTTGATATTCATTATGAAAAAGTTATAAATAAGATTAGTAGTAAAGTGGGATATTTATCAAGAGTTTCTGAATGTTTGAGTTCATATAGCAGAAAAATTATCTATAATACCATCATTCTTCCAAATTTCTTGTACTGTTCGACTATTCTATATTTAGCAAATAATTCCATTTTTGAAAGACTGCAAATTTTACAAAATAAGTGCGTGAGAATAATACTGAATAAAGATAAATATACTCTAATTAGACAAATGCTTAGCAAATTAAAATGGCTCAATGTAAAAATTTTTATCAAATATCTTGTAATGATATTCATTTATCAAGTAAAAAATAATATATTTCCATCAAGTCTAACTAATTTAACATCATCAAATGCAGACCATCATTTAAATAATACTACTTTTTTTTAAACATTAATGAAACTTGTGATATTTCAGATTATGTATTGTAAAATTCGTATATTTGCATTAATATACATATCAGATGAAAATATAGACATTGTTTTAAAAATGCTAAATTCTGACTTGGCAAAAATCATAAATTGGTTAAATGTAAATTAAACAAAAACTAAATGCTTCTAAAACAAAATGTATGCTAATAGGGAAATACCATCAGTTAGGACAAATGGTGAAATAAATGAAAATGTTTAATCAATTAAATTATATATATATATATAAACTAAAAGTAGAAAAATAATGGGCAAAATCCGCAAAAAAGAGGAAAGTGGATTCGAGCAGAAAATAGGATAGGTAACCCGAGCGATACGTATTTCTGCTGGTGGGCTTCATCAGGCCCGAAATGAATGCACATATGAAACTACAAAAGTAGATACACATGCCCACACATCCGGACACGGGTGTAACCTGAGGAAACGAAGATAGAGAGGAAAAAAAACGTTTTTTTTCCTTTCTCCTGTGTATTTTGGGCCTGATGAAGCCAACCAGCAGAAATACGTATCGCTCGGGTTACCCATCCTATTTTCTGCTCGAATCCACTTTCCTCTTTTTTGCTGATTTTGCCCATTATTTTTCTACTTTTTGTTATATACCTTTCTCCGCATGATCATTTTCTCTCTCTCTTTACTATCAATATATATCATATATATATATATATATCAATATATATATTGATAGTAAACTAGAGTATGAATACATTATTTCAAAAATTAATATAATTAATATACATATTTGAATCTGCGAATCTGTAATTTCTGACTGACTAAATGATTACCTTTATTATTTGATTCACCTCCGCCGCCACTGCTGCTGCCCCCGCCGCCGCTTCCGCTGCTCCCGTGATTCATGTTCAGCTTGTTGATGATGCTCGGGATGTTGAATTCGGGGTTCGGCAGCTTTCGCATTATTTTACCGGAAGTGATCAGGCGACCGAAACCTTCTTGGTGGGCGAACGCGTATCCCGAACGAATGGACCTGAAACAAATAAAATAAATTGTTGGCAAAAAACATTCAGTATTATTTTGGAATGCATTCTAAAAGATGCAATTTCATAACAGTGTCGAGTATTTAATGTTTGACGTCGATGCCGCTCTGAAGCTTGGCCATTTCTTCTTCTTCTTCCTACTTTATTAATAGGCTCATGCCTGTTTTACTTCGGTTTTTAGCCTCAATTGATGTTGTCTGACCATCTTTTCCTCGGTCGTCCCATTGATCTTCTTCCATTTGGCGATTTGTCTCTTGCTATTCGTACTGTTCTATTTTCTGTCATTCTTTCTATGTGTTGATTCCATTCTATTTTTCTTCTTTTGGTCCACAGGTTTATTTCCTCTATACCACATCTCGCTCGTATTTCCTCACTTCTTACTCTGTCTCTGCCATGTTCATTTGTTTTTGTACTTCTTCTCCCGCTTTTCCATAGCTTGACAGTTTGATTCCCAAGTATTCCGTTTCCATCACTTGTTCTATTATTTTTTCATTTACGACCGGTGTACATCGTCTCGGTTCCGCTGATATCACTATCGATTTAGTCTGTTGAAATCACCATATTGTATATGAGCGTCGTATCTTCGAATTCTTTAATTAAGCTTTGTAGGTCATCTTCATTTTCGGCTATTATTATGGCGTCGTCGGCGTAGCATATTATCGCATTTCCTTTTCTCCGATTCTATATCTTCTTTTTTTAGCTTTCTTAATGATTTCATCCATTATCAGATTAAATATTAGTGGGCTCAGCGAATCTCCTTGTCTAATGCCAGTTTCATACTTGCGAGAGTTTTCCTTTACATCTTACCATAGCTATATTATCTTTATATATATATCCTCAATAGTTTTTACTAAATCCAGTGGTATTCCCCTGTCATATAATAAATGTATCGCGTCCCAAATTCTCACTCTATCAAACGCTTTCTTCAAATCTGTCAGGCACATATATGCTGGTTTGTTGTATTCCAGCGACTTTTATTTTATTTGTCTTATTACAAAAACTGCATCCGTGCATGATCTTCCTGTCCGGAATCCTTGTTGTTCCTCTCGCAGAGTTATTCGTTCGTTTATTTTTGTCGCCTATTATTCTTGTTGTCAATTTGAGTGTTGTATTTAACAGAGTTATTGCTCGATAATTATTGGGCTCTTTCTTATCTCCTCTCTTGAAGAACATCAGCATCATCGCTCTCCTCCATTCATCTGGTATTCTGTTCATGATGATTATTTTTTGAATAAGGAGTTGCAGTTGTTGTACAAGGTAATCACTTCCATATTTCAAAAGTTCATTTGGCATTTTCTCCTGGTGACTTTCTATTTTTTAATTTATTTATTCTTTGTTTCACATCTTCTTGGGAGATTTCGGTCTTTTCATGAGGTATTATATTTGGCGTTTCTGGTGAAGATTCTTTGTTTTCTTTTTTAAACATTTGTCAGGAAGGCCACCCATGTATCCTCTTTTATGTGTTCTATTTTAACTGGTTCTTTCATTTCGCTTCTTTGTTGTCTTGTGAAGCGCCGTACTTGTTTCTGTTGAAATCCATCTCTAGTCCTTTTGTAAATCTTTCCCAATAATCTGTTTTTGTTTTTCTTACCAATTGATGAGTTTCAGTTCATCTTCTTTTATATTCTTCATATGATTCATTGGTTTTATCTGACTTATATTTTAGGAAAGCTTTCTTTTTTTGGTGACATTTTTGTTTAACCTATAGTGTAAACCATGGTGTTTTCATTGACCACTTTTTGTTTTTTGTTTATTATTTTCGTTCCTAGGGTTTCTCGGGCAGCGTCCAGAATATTTTTTCCAGCTAGTTTCTACATTGCTTTCATTTTCGATATCTTCTGTTCTAGCCTTTTGGCCATTTCAATATGTAATATGTCAAGAGACACTTCATGCGACCTATAAACATATACTCCATTTTCTTTATACAGTCAGTTGAGAAAAGAAACTCCCATAACTTGCGGCAATCGAGAGGCAGCTATGCTGCCTTCACAAATAGCCTAAAGGCGGTAGTGGACGCAAATCTTAAGTCTATTCAAACCTCATTTACGACGCGACAAAACAAACATTAGCATTCGATCGCCGCTTCTAATTACTTGTCGTCGCCTGTCCAGGCATTTATGCTCCGCTGGCAAATAGAAACGACGTGTCGAGCGCTGGTAAATGAGATTTTAATACACTATAGTTGTAAGCATAAGTGGTTGGTGGCGCCACGGTACATAAGGCTCCTTTTTCCCGCAGGTACGATTTTCAATTTAAAAAAAAATGAAAACATCTCTACGATCTTCAAGTTAAGGGTGAAGGTTTCACGTTTGCATTTCGAGTTGAAATTTTTGCCACTGCTTATTCATGGAAAAAGGTAAACCACGCAAAATCGAGGCAAAATCTTGGCATCCTGTAGATTTTTGTATCAAAATTATTTAATTAAAAAACAAGACTTTTGAATGTGTCATGGACATTTGAAATAAAAATGGTAATTCTACGTACCTTCTGGCTCTCCGTGCAGACGGCGTCCTAAGGACATCTTGGCTTTGCCTGGATCTGACCTGGGCAATCCTTTGTTTCAGTCTCACCCTATCAGTCAGCGTCGGATGCACGTCTACGAAGTAGAAACGCCAGGCAAGCACCGGCATCACAGATATCGTCACCACCTAACAAACAAAAATAAGTTCATCTCACTATCTGTTTTGGGAATATGTAGAAACTTGAATGATCAAAGTTCTGAGACATACTCAGTGACATTAGAAAAAAATAATTTATTCGACTTGTGTTTTTGGCAACGTAATGACTATACTCTAGGCGCTGAAGAAAGAAACTAAACCCAAACAAATACACGCATATTGCTCGTGAGTGAGTGTTTAGGCGCAGGAGACATTACAGGACCGCATCAAGATATTATGGGTAGTCATCAAAAATTTCATACAAGATAATTATTATCTTTTACAGTAAATTTCAGTTAGAGATTCACAAATGAGTTAACTACACTTTTTAGTTATTAGTAAGTAAGCTGCGCGCACTCATTCAGAAGAGGAACTTGAATCTTCTGAATCGTTTAAATGAATTATTAGAGGTTCAATTTGGGTATCGATGACATTGTCCAAATCCCACATTTTGACCTCAACCTTCTCCCGAACGTGGCGGATACAGTTTTTCCATTCCTCTGCCGTAACTCTATTGACTGCGATGTGAAAGAGATTTTTAACATCAGAAAATTTATAAGTATTATTATTCGACGCCACGTATTGCTTTATGTTGGCCCAAATCAGCTCAATAGGGTTCAGCTCACAATGGTAGGGTGGCAGTCTCAAGACAGTTTTATTTTGTTTTTTGGCCATTTCGGCGATCATTTTAAAATCGTATTTGTATTTATGTCTATTGACTATACTTATCAATTCACTCTTGACCATTGTTTCATCAAAATCGATCTGTTTTGAGGCCAGCCATTTTTGTATGTTTGCTTTTTTAGTTGCCATTGTGGGAATTTTTTCTATTTTTCTAGAATGGTACGGGGCATTATCCAGTACAATAACAGCGTTATTCTCCAGCTTTAGTAACATTTTGGAGAACCAATTTTCAAAGGAATTGCCGCCCATCTCCTCATGATAGTCCCCTGTCTTTTTTGATTCAAAGGCCCACAGTGCTTCGGGAACAAAGCCATCTTCACTACCTACGTGACAAATGATCAGCCGTTTGCCTTTTCCTGGAAATAAATTATTCCTTACACTATGGATTGATTAAATTTGAAGGAATGAGGCAATTGAGTTCATTTAGCTGAATTTAAGTGTCACGGAATGCTGATCAAAAACTGAAAAACGTAGAAAATTGAAGTTTGCAACTTCTCAAAACCCATTCAAAGCAAATTGACTGCACCCAAAAATGATAATAAATTTCAAAATAACGCTTAAAAGAGGGTCGAAGTTTTTTCCTAATGACTACACTGCGAATGCACCATTTTTGGAGAATATCACACATTATCTGCTATCACAGCATATTATTTGCCCGAATTTATCAAAATTAAATTGCCGGATAGATGAAGGAGCTTACCTGCAGGATTTTTCAATCCAGCCGAAAGACCGTCTAGAAAAGCCTGCCTTGATGATGTTACTGATTTGTCGACCCAAACTTTCGCTTGAGTATGTCCAGCATTCACCCACGTTTCGTCCAAATAGTATATTTTTCTTTTTTCATCGCGAAACTTCCGAATCTTCCTAAGGTATTCCCTTCTCCACACAACAATTTCTTCTTTCTCTATTAACATACTGTTTCTTCCCCGTTTCAAGAATCGAAAATTAAGTTCCTTCAAAAGTTTTCGGAATGTGGTTCTTTTAAATGATGGAAGATCCTCATCAGCATTAACTAATCTTAATATCTTATCTACTGTAGGTATCTCATTTCGGAAGAAAAAATTATGCACTTTCCTCCTGATGGCAGTTCTGTCAAAGTCATCTACTCCGTCCGTTATCCTTTTTCTTGCAGGATACGGTTTTGGCTCAGAAAGTGAGTGAGTGCTCCTATATTCCTTAATGATCCTATCAACACTGGACCGACATACTCCAGAAATATGTGCTACCTTACATATAACTTCGTCCACGACCAAATCGGGTTTTTCTTGAATTTGGTTTTTGTATATATTTAATATTATTTGTTTTTCATTTGCACTTAAATGTAGCTTCTTAGCCCTTTTTTTGGGTGGGGTTGCGCTGATGTCAACCAATTCGTCGGCTGTATCTGTGTCAGACATCGTATCTTAGGCAATATATAAACAAAACGTTCCACTCGCGAAAAACGAGTATACGCTACTGAATGCGTAATGCGTATGCAATGTAATCCTGTGCGTGAATTAACTGTTAGATGCCTGTCGTGTCATCTACAATCACGTTTACAAGTCCAAACCTGTGCAGATTCGTAGAGCGCCGACGACTGCTAGTGACCTTGAATTTGTCTGTAGATCGATGTTACTCCAGTCAATTTAGGTTCAAAGTGGATGTTTTCTAAACCAATTTGTTGTTCCTACATCAAAAATATATCGATGATGTTTTGTACTGGGAGCTCATGAAAGATCAAGATAACTTATTTTAACAGTCATCCTTTTTCTAGTCTCAAGATGACACGAAAAAGGGTCTGTGGATTCACTAGAAATACACTGCCGAGGATGTTTAGACCTAAAGTGACTGGAGTATATCCGTGGATGCTTTCGAGGGATCTGTTCACGTGCTGATCACTGTTTACGTTTAATGTCTTTCTTCAGCGCCCAGAGTTTATATTTAAAGCATGCTTTGGCAACAATGTTAACGTTTTATCTTTATTTTTGTTTACCTTTGTTCAAACGCTGTCTCTTAGTTTTTGTGAAGAAAGCAGTTTCTGAGAGCTGAGTATTACAGATAATTTTTGGTTACTGCTTTTTCATTTACTAGTATTAAGCATAACAAAATGCCTCGAGTTCGAGGACGTCCAAATTATCACTAAGTTAGCGACTTTGACAGTGGTAGAATTATTTCCTATCGAGATGTTGGTTTCTCCTATCGCGAAATTGGCCACCGTGTTAATTTTACTGCAATGACGGTAATACGTGTGTGGATAGAAGAAAGTAGAGGAACACGAAGAAGGCCAACTGGTCTTTCGAGGCGTTCATAGAGCATCAAGACAGGCGCTTCAGGCAACTATTCCTACGATACCGTTTTGTTACTACGCATCAGATCGCTGACTAATGGTTTGGAGAAGAAGGTAGGCCTGTTACTACGCGTGTTACTATCGCCGCTTTCGAGCCTTAGGACTTTTTTCACACCGTCCACGGTTAGTGCTTCCTCTGACTGCGGACCACTGTCATCAACGTTTGTACTGTAACAGAGAACGGCAACATTGGGAGGCAGAATGGCATGTCATCTTCAGCGATGAACCGCGATTTTGTCTAGGTACGTACGATGGTTGTAGAAGGGTGAGACGCTATTGTGGAGAACGACGTGATATTGGATTTGCTGTTGAGAGATATATACACCGGACTGTTGGAGTCACCCCCGGTCACCTGATTTAAATCCCATCGAACATGATTTGAAGGGGAGGAGACTATCCACCTTGCACCATCCACACCGCCACATACTCTTCCACAGCTAATCCACGAGAATTTTATTAATTTTCTTCTTATTACTTGACAATAACATTTCGAGAGAATGTTATCATTTTATTCTTGATGTAAGACTACCTCATTGCCAAAAAAATCAAGCTAAAGAAATTATTTTTCATGATTGTAACACTTCTAATGTCATTGAGTATATCTAAGAAAAAATTAGTTATTTGGATATATCCACGAATTCAGACTAGGTAGGAGTTGCACGCCTACGATTTGTTTGTCTACAAAAGCTTAGTCTTTAGCCAGGATAAAAGTGCATGCCAAGTTGCCAAGTTAATTTTTTGATAGTTCTGTCATTAATTCGCATTGTTACTGTTTGAAGATAGATTTGGACGATTTCAGGACCCGATACTTCTTGCATAATTTGCAAAGAATGACACAAGTCTAATGAAGGTAGATCTTTCTACCAGAAAGTATTATTATTGGTATGTTGATAAAGGTTTGTCACTGTGATAAGCAATAGCAGTAAAATGAGTCAAAAGTATGCACTTAAACCAGTGTCACATAAAAATCACGATTTTTTTTAAATAAAAAATCTCATTTTTTTTCGATTAAGTCGTGATTTTTTTATTTTCATCAATTTACACTGTTTTTTTTCCTTAAATATGGTAATAATAAACTTTTAAATAACTTATTTTCATTATTTTTCTTTATTCGGCCAAAAATATTTGTTGTCTATATTTAGGGGATCAAAACTAATTTCATTTGTTAGAAATACAGTAATGGACAAAAGTATATAGACAAATTAATATTGTGCTGTATTTCTTTTTTAACTTGTTTTATTAATACACCAACCTGTATACATAATTCGTTATAGCATAATACTCACTTATACATAAATAAATTCATTAGACTACCTTCAATAAAAAATTAATTGAAAAAACTATGAAGGACAAATATACAGGGTGGCTTTGAAGTTGAGTCATTAATTATCAGATAATGATTGTAGAAGGAAGATAAACCAAAATATGTGTGTAAAAATAAAAAAAAAAATTAAAAAAAAATTTTTACCTTGTTTTATAAAGTATCCTCCCGACAAGTATTTCAGTGCGGACCTGTATTTGATCGTGAGGTCCCCTGTGAGGTCTTAAGTCAAATGATTCACGAACCCGTTGTACTACATTAACAAAGGCACGAGGGGTTGGTTGCACTCGCTTGGAAAACCGATCCGCATAAACATGTGCCATTTTTTATTTCGTTTGAGCCACGCAACAGACACTATTCACACGCGTTACCGACTGGCGACACTGACTGTATGTATAACTGAACTGAATAAAACAATTGTAAAAACATCGTTCCAAATTCTTTCGCTTTTTTGTTTCCGATGCGATTAACCGATAAGGCGGATTATATCCGTTGTTGCCAAACACGAGCACATGATATTATTATTGAGACAGGGCGGTACTCAAACTTCCAAAGGGCTATAACTTTGTTACTTTAATTTTACCAGAAAAATGGTATTCCACAATACTTGATGAACAGAAACTAATCCTCTTCTGACACGAAACTGTACTAAACTAATGTTGAAAAGAATTTGTCTACATATTTTTGTCCCTCATAAAAAAGTACTTATATTCAGACTTCTATTGTGTTCATTGCAGATAATGTAAAAACAAAGAATGTAGTTTTTCTACTAATAACGCATTTGTTTATGGAGCAATGAAGTATGAATTCGTTTTCTAAAGGTATTTAGATAAATATTCATTACTGTATATAAAATTTAATACTTTATATTTGTTAAAATATATTCCTGTATGTAATATGAACTATACACTGTTTTGGTTGAAACTGTGTTTTCTTAAACTCAATTTACGAATTATTACGTTGGACAGATATAATGTAAGTTTAAAAAAACTCTTCTTCCTTTTTTTGAATCATCTGATGAGTTATTTCAATTATTTGCTTTGGCGACTTGTTTTTACGGCAATTTATGATTTGATTTAAATCACGATTAAAATTGAAAAAACCAATCGATTTGAATAAAACTACGCAATGTTACCGACAAACAATGCAACTTGGTTCCATTTAATCTATTGGAATACTCGCATTCAACAAAACAGCACTACAAGTTGTTAGCCAAGTCAACCGAAAAGTCAATAAAGATATCTCAGTATCCAACTTATAAAAGAAGTTTAATAATTATTCCAGCAGCGAAGCTAATCGTCGCGGTGCCTAGCAACGCTGATGCGGCAATCTGTGAATTGTGCCGAATCTGTTTACGATCGATGAATGTCACTGAAGTTATCGACTATAAATGTTTCAATGCCATAAACAGTATCAAAGCTGTGGCACCTGAAGTTTCTGTCACAGTTATCAACCTTTTTCCTGACATGTAACAGGCATTCTAGGATGTACGCACAAGGTAGTGTTAATACACCCAGAGAAATGAACTGTTCCATACAATCGTTATCTTGATGACCTTGATGCATTTCCTCTGGGCAGCAAACACTTCCGAGGAGCTGGCTGAGTGACCCCTCAATAACACCCCATAAGTCCTATGAGTATGGAAATACGTAGCTGTAGTACGCTTGTCGAAGTTTATCAGGGGAACAGAGTTTTGGAGGCTACGGAGTTTATAACGCAATACATAAGTGTGTTCATGCCATGAGAGGCGGCTATCTAAGCGCAAACCTAATGTCTTTACTTTCAACTCATTGTTGTCGTTGAAATTCTTCAAAGTGCAAACCAAATTTTAATATGTTCATTATTATCTCTGTGTTCAAATCATGAGCAGTGTTACCACTCTCTAGTGTAGTAGTTTCATCTGCATACAGGACAATACTTTGAGAGTTACAGAGGACCAGGTTGTCTATGAATATTATAAAAAGCGTGGGACTTATAACGGAACCCTGAGGAACCCCCTGCTTTATCTCCAGGAGCAATTGCCTCTATCTTAGGTTCGTATCCTTTTCGACACCTTTGCAAATGCTCAACCGATTATGAACGATTAAGAATACTCACCATGACAGTAGTGAACCAAAAATTTGCTTCGGACATGGCCTTGATGAGTGAACCGACGTACGGTCCGTGGCACAGGTAATTATAAAAGTTATCTGCTACGAAATAAAAAGCTAGCGAACCCCATATCATGATGTGGTTGAAGATGGTCCAATACATTGTATCTAAGGCAATCTGCAAACAAGAAACAAATATGTTCAATGTGTAGGAACATAACAACTGTTTCCGCGATTTGTTTAGGCCTACTCGTTACTGAAAATGGATCTGACTATCTAGTAGATTTATTTAGCACTAATGGCCACATAAACAATTGAAAGTAATACATAATAATAAATTCAAACCATATGGTGCATCGTCATGTTTGCAGTTTCAATTTATTTGTTTAGGATATTTTATTGTTTTATGTTTCAATCTCATTTGTTGAATTCCATTAGGCCTTGATGGAAAACCGATTTCGTACATGTACTGCGTTTTTTTGCGTTTAAATGGAAATCATGCTCGTGTCTGGTATCATAAAAATTATAGCAGGCAATTACAGAAGTTACTGCAGATAGGCATGATGGCAAAACATAAATTATTTTTTAATATATAAATAAAAAACATAATGAAATTTTATAAAATCTGTAATCTTGGGAAAACGGCGTCATTAGCTAGATATATTAGCTATAGGGTAAATCGTTAGTTATCGGACACCTGACAGTTATTGGACATTGCTGTTTCAAAATCGAATACTAAGAGTTCTGTATGGCGTATTTTGTTCAGTTCTCGACAGATGGTATCTATATAATATATTATGTTAACAGATTTCTATTCAGTTGCACATACTTCCATACCGGTGCTGTGATTATGGTGGGAAAATTTGATAGGTTATGTTCTCGACTCTGAAGCTAAAGTTGGTGTTAGCGTTGCGGTTCAGGTATCGACAAAAAATTCTACATTTGTTCTCAAGGTAAGCATCTATTTTTGTATACTGACATATAAATCTGAACACCCAGTTTAAATGGTTTTATTTTAATAAAAGTTGGTGAATGTATTTATCTTAATGTAAATAACAAGTGAAAAACGCTCTAAAAATGAATATTTCACGATTTCGTCAACTTAGTGAGTTTGGTAGGGGCCGTATGGTGGGACTTCGGGAAGCTGGACTTTCTTTTCGGGCAATTGAGTTAGAGTGCAAAGAAGTGTAGACACTGTGGTTAGGTGTTGTCAGGCGTGGCTTCGAGAAGGCCGTACGCAAAGAGCAAGGGGCACTGGACGCCGCCGTAGAACAACAGACCGTGAAGATCGCCGCCTAAGATTATTGGCCTTAAGGGACCGTTTCTCCACTACCAGGTCCATTGTAAATGAATGGTTTGCAGAACACGGAAGACCTATTGGCATGCGAAGTGTTTACCGACTAATAGAGAAGTGTTGGCTTGTTTTCATACCGGCCACACTGGGTCCTCCCTTTAACTCGAGAACACCGACGTAATCGCCTTGAGTGGTGCAGACAACGGTCACTCTGGGATCAGGAATGGAACAGTATTGTCTTTAGTGACAAGTCTCGATTTTGTTTAGGCATGCACGATGGTCATGTCACGGTTAGAAGGCGACGTGGTGAAAGGAGGAATCCACAGTTTTTTTGTTGAAAGACATGTTCATCACACTGTTGGAGTTATGGTTTGAGGTGCTATAGCTTATGGTTCCAGGTCACCTTTAATCTTCATCAGAGGTAACATGAACGCGCAGCGTTATATCCACGAAGTTCTAGAACCCCATCTTTTACCCTATCTTGACACCCTGGCAGATCCAACTTTCCAACAAGATAATGCCCGACCACATGTTGCAATGGCCACCAAGATCTCCCGACTTATCCCCAATTGAGGCCGTGTGGGATATGATGGGTAGGAGATTGCTCAATTTGCAACGTCCTCCTCAGACTCTAGAAGCACTTCGAGAGGAGTTGGTGGTTGCCTGGAATGAGATACCACAGGAGGACATTGACCACCTGATCAGAAGCATGCCTAGGCGCGTTGGAGAATGCGTAGCACATCAGGGTGCATCCACACATTATTAAAGGTCAAAGGGCTTTAAAGCAGCATTTTGAAATTTTTATCATTTTCTTATTATGCGTCATTAAGTACTTATACAAAATTTTACTAAAATAAAACCATTTAAACTGGGTGTTCGGATTTATATGTCACTTAGTATATTTCGCTCATATTGATATTTGTTGTCAAGCTTTAGATTGCATCAAAAACAAGTTTGAGTTGATAATTTCAGAAATATGTTCTGTCCAAACACTCATAGTTTTTTTCCAACTAATTTCGGTTATTGGACATCAGTGAAAAATGTCAAGTTGTTCTGTGTTAACTCGATTCAGTGAATCTTTATACAAGAAGAGATATTTTTCTATTTATATTAACTTGGAAATAGATTTGATAGTTATTGGACAACTTGACCGTAAAGTAGCCGAGTTCAGGTCTACATTTTAGGAACTAGCAATATGCCGAAATTAAGGCAATACGACAAGTCGAAACTTCAATACGCCCTCAAAGACATACAAAACGGCACAGAATCTTACCGAACAGCCGAAAATAAGTACGGAATTCCGAAATCCACTTTAGAATTTAAACTGAAACATCCCAGTCATAAAGAAACCTTGGGTCCACTGCCAACTTTAACAAGTGAAGAAGAGGCTTTGTTAGTTAAGTAATTTGTATTTTATTAGTGTCTAATAACACTAATTTTATAAATATTTATCGGCAGCTGGATAAAAGATAATGCTGCAAAGGGTTTTCCAAGAAAGGCCAACGATTTGATGAATAGCGTACAAAGATTTTTGACTGTTAATCCGCGCCCACACAAATTCAATGAAAACCGACCTGGAGATGGGTGGGTTAAGGTATCCCAGCAAATAAGTAATGTATAATTAGTTACTACTTATAGATATTTTCAACGTTACAGGGACTCTTGAAAAGGCATCCCCCCTCAAGCAAAAAATCTAGAAAATGTGCTTAAAGATACTTCAAGGATTTTTAATGCTGAGGAGTCAGGATTTGAGATGTGTCCTTCCTCTGGGAAGGTGTTTGCAGCAAAAGGGACAAGAAATGTGTATTCTGTAGAACGCGTAGAGTCACCTGAATGACCATCTGAGCATTCTATGTAATGAACTGCAAATTGAAATCATGTCACTGTATCCTAATGCTACAAGGATTTTGCAACCCTGTGATGTATTCACTTTCCGACCAATCAAAGAAGCTTGGCGTCGGTCAGTACGAAAGTGGGAAGAAGAACATCCGGGGCAAATAGTAAACAAAGTCGTTTTTGCTGGTATTCTAGAAAATGCTGTTAATAAGAGCTTCAAAGCAGAAACAGTTGTAAATGGGTTTAAAGTCGTTTATATCCTTTCAATCCAGATAACGTCACCTATACAAAATGTCTAGGAGTGGGGACCATGCAGCAACCAAATATTGGAGTAGAAAATCCTACTCAGCACAAGATGACCTACGACAAGTACCCAAAAAATCGAAATGTTCCAAAATATTGATGGAAAAACGGCAGAAAATTTGCGTCTATTATTCAAGACTTGGAGATTCTTCCGAAACGGTGATACAATACCTATGGATATCACAGAGCCAAAAAATAAAATTAATATTGTATAAAATATAGTTATAATGTCCCCAACAAAAAATCCTTCACTTGCTTCAAATTCTAGTGAAACTGAACAAACCGCAACCCTCAGTCAACCGAGTACCAGCAAAGCTACCGTCAATGTAATGTGTAAGCAAATAATTCCTCCCAACCGAGTCGTACTTCCAAACAATTTGTTAGGAAGCTTCCTACAGTCACCTTCTGCACCAGGAAGAAATGGTAAACGAAACATAGAGCGATTCCCTTTTGCTATAACATCTGAGCGATATCGGACGTTCAGGAAAAAATAAGAATCCAGAAACAGCAACACAGTGCTCTGCCTGCCTAAAGGGCATCCGATCTGGTGAACTACAATGTGCTGACTATAAACGATACTATCATTCAGACTGTGTTCCACAAAGCCACAAACATAACATACCCAGCGATGACGATTTATACATATGTCATAACTAGTAGTAGTAGTAGTAGTAGTAGAAAGATTTATTTAGCACATTTGGCTAGATAAACAGAATAATTGTAAACAACTTAGAACTAGTAAATTCAAGCCATATGGTGTATGATGTAAATGCTGGGCAACCTATAATTGTAGATTTAACAAGTGATTTCTCAATTTTACTTTAAATTTTGTCAAAGTTTTCTGGTCTTTTATCTCCGAGTATAATTTATTATATTCAATCAACCCTTGATGGAATACAGATTTGTAGCATATGTTATACTTTTTGGTCATTAAATGGAAGTCATCTTTATTTCTGGTAATATGTAAATGATGGTCGACATTTGATGATGTTAAATTAGTTAGACTTGATGGAAATATATTATTTTTTACTTTATAAATGAATATCATTACAAGATATTTGATAAAAATTTTTACATTGAGCCATTTTAATTTGCTAAGCATTTGCCTAATTGGAGTATATTTATCTTTATTTAGTATTATTCTCATGCAGTTATTTTGTAAAATTTGCAGTCTTTCAAAAATGGAATTATTTGCTAAATATAGAATAGTCGAACAGTACAAAAAATTTGGAAGAATGATGGTATTATAGATAATTTTTCTGCCATATCAACTCAGACATCCAGAAACTCTCGATAAATATCCCACTTTACTACTAATCTTATTTATAACTTTTTCATAATGAATATCAAAAATTAATCGAGAGTCAACAAAAACCCCCAGGTATTTAAAATTTTCTACGAATTCAATATCTTCACCATCAATATTCAGTTGAACATTTGTACATTGTTTTTTTCCGATTAACAAGGCTTTCGTTTTACTTGCATTTAATTTTAGTCTGTTAGATGCTAACCATTTTGAGACAAGCTTCAAGTCTTCATTTATATAAGAGATACCAGACTGAATATTGTTAGTACTTATATAAATCATAGTGTCATCGGCGAAAATCTGAATTTTGCATTTTTTGACTATGGCAGGTAAATCATTTATGTATAAAATAAAAAGAAGTGGTCCCAGGATACTGCCCTGTGGAACACCCAACGTATTTTCAATTTTTGATGAAATAGTGTCATTAACTTTTGTAATTTGCATCCTTTCAGACAAATAATTTCTAAACCAATATAAAACACTTCCTGTTATACCATATGCCTTCAATTTACCTAACAAAATATCTCTATCAATCGTTTCAAATGCCCTCTTCAAATCCAAAAATACTGCTATGACAACTTCTTCTGTGTCTATGGCTCTTCTCCAATTCTCAGTTACCAACTGGAAAGCCGTTTCTGTGGAATATTTTTTTCGAAAGCCTGCTTGCGCCTCCACAAAAATTTTGTTTTCTTCAATACACTGCATTAATTGGTCATGCACTATGGACTCTAATAATGTTTCAATGTCTGGTAACACATTTACTGGTCTCATATCGCTACATCTTTTAGAATTTTTTATTTTGGGAACTGGTGTTATTGTAGAGCATTTCAAATTTTCAGGAAAAGAACTGCTTCTCAGTGAACAATTGATCCAATTTAATACAAGATATCCCAAAATTTCGAAACAGTTTTTCAGCACGTTTTTAGTAGTCATTTCGGCACAGTTGTTATTTGATTTTAAATTGTTTACTTTTTTTCTTAGATAATTCAATGATACGCTGTGAAATTTTGAAAGTGTATGCAACATTGCTACAGATTGAGCGATAGTGACGAGGATTCTAAAGATATTGATGATCAGGAAGTCGATGAATTATACGACCAATATAATCAGGCAAAAAAGTATTTTACAAATGATTATACCACATTATATATAAGACCCGTCCAATAACTGGATTTTCAGTGACCCATATCTAAATGTTGCGTCCAATAACTATATTTTTGCATATGTTCAAATTATCATTGTTAGTGTAAATTCTGCACAACTATTTTAAAATATGTTCTAGCAGTCTAGTTAATAGAGTCTCTAACTTCCTTTATATGTAGTTTCCACTGTCTCTTTGCCATCAATGAAAGTTTGGCTCTCATTTAAAGTAGTCTAAACCTTAAATGTACAATAATTGTCCAGTTTACCCTACATAAAATTTGGACGTATAAGTGACGAATACTGGACACATCAAATGCACGTGAAAGAGTAATTAGGCACGACTACTCACCTGCGCGGTGTTGACTATAACCAATATGGCTGCAGCCACACTACAGAACAACATGTAGTCAGACAATCCTTGTCCATCGGGGCTAACTGCATCATAATATGTACCTGAAACCAAACACCAAAATATACATTCATTAGAAAAACATTCATTTCCGAATCAAGGTACATGGTGTTATTTACGTATACAACAGTTTAGATGTAACAAACACTACATAGTTCTACTACCCATCAATACGACAACACTATATAGCTGCTGCTCCAAAGAATATAACATACTTTGAAAATGAAATGAACCAAAGTTTTTCAATTTATGTACAGTTACAACTAATAGATTTTCCTTACCTAAAGCTATAAAAAACAGCACCATAGAGACGTAACAGCCTTGCAGGGCGCTACGAAAAAATTCCTTCTTATTAAATAACAAGTTGAGGTGTCCGGGTCTGTACAACTGGGGATAGAGAATACTGTTTTTATCGTTGACGTCTTGATCGAAGATGCCAACGCCAAGTACGGGTAACGAAGTGTAGAACAGGTTATAAATTGATATATACATAGGATCAAACACAGTCTGCAACAAATAAAATACGATAATCATTATTTTCATTATGTTCTTTCAATAAATTTGCAATTATAGCCGGAATTGTTCAATGATTCCCTTTATTCACTGGGTTAACTTTGTAACGCTTCCTTTCCGCAAAAAGTCCAGAAAAGATGGAATGCAATGAAGATTCCAACTTTTCTGCACAATCACAGAAAGGGGGTTACCATTAGCTTCCGGTAGCTCAGTCGGTGGCATGAAGACATCTACAGGCGTGCAGCTGTGTGTCGACCATGGCATGGCTAGAGGATAGAAGAACAAACAGAACACAAAAATTTAACAGATTTTATTTAACAAAAAAAAGGCATTTTCATTACATTACAATTTTACAAAAATAACAAAATAAGTTTTACATCTTTGGCGCTGCTATAACGCTATCGACTTATCTTTCGCTGGTCCATTTTTACTCGACTGAAGCGAGGATGGTTGAAGTGGAGGTCCCAGTTGTGAGGGGTGACCTCACTATAGTGGCTTCATGACCAGTTGTAGGCGAAGTTAAAGGCGATGGCGCTGCCAAGGCACATGCATGGGTGAAAATATTGGCCAAGGCTAGGCAAAGTGAAAGGGAAAGAGAAAGGGGGTGGCCCCAATCATTTTTGTCCTATACGGACACACATTCTAGAAATCTAGCACATGGTGCTATATAACCTGGTGGTACTGAGAAGAAATTTCTAGCCGTTGTTCGATCGGCGGCTCAAGTGAAAAGAAAGCGCGAGGAAGATCGCAGATCAGGAACTCCGCATCAAGCGCTCCAAGCGGAAAATTTTCCAAGCAAAAAAGCTAGAGATGGGATTAATGAAATGATAATCGAGAAGTGATTTAATAAATACGATCGGACGGTGAAACCGTTACACTCGCCCCAACTTAACCAAAAAAAAAAAAATCGAAGAAGCATTTAAGAATTTTTTTTTTTTTTTTACTAGGAAATTGAAAGTTATCACGGAAGGACAAATGTACAACCATTCGACCAGATAACAAGTAGCAAAAGTAAGGTAGAAACAAAAATGTTAGAAGAGAATTGGAAGAAAAAGGGATAGCCTCAAGTCTACCAAACAAGAGGGATGGTTATAGCACCAACTCGCTGAAAAGTACAGTGAAGTTGCACTTAAAAAAAAACTATCATCATATGATGAAAAACCCAAAACATAAAACATCGTCATACCTAAGACGAGAAAAATAATAAACCAAAAGCTTCAGAAGTAGTCCAAGCACGAATCACAATGGCATCCAAAATGCACGACACTACTAAAAACTTCAAAACTAAGTAAGTACCTAAACCATAAGAGGTACTAAAAAAATAATAATCTTTCTCAAAACAATTGCCAGATTATCTCGCAATACTCCAAACCCAAAAAGATTACGATCTACAGTGATATTTTAAACCAATATCCAATATAAAAAAAGTGCATTACTATTTTCAAAATATGAAAATCAAAAGAAATTAACAAATTCCATTAGGAATTCAAGTCATATAACAAAACAATTTACAAGTACTAAACCAATGAAAACTTGATCATGAAGGTATTTTAATCAAAAAAAATGTTAAGTAAGTGCAGTTCTGATTCCAAAAAAAAATTGTCGGGCGCCAGCAGTCTGTAAGACTACAAAATAATTCAAAATATTTTCAGAGAATTAAAGTATATAAGGGACATTCATGAAATATTGAAGTAAGATTTTCAAAGTCAAAATATAGCTTAAGTTCAATCAATGAACTAAAATTCAAGAGTAAGTTCAATTAAGATTATCGGGTCATGTGACAACATAAGAACCAGACCAAAAAAAAAAAATTCTGAAGTTCAATATAGAAAAGAGCAAAATAAATTCCCAAAAAAAAACTAAGTGCAACACAAGTGCAACTGTAAATCTAATAGTATTAAAATTATAAAGTGAGAGGAAATATCAGAGCCATATGAGCATGATTTTCTAAAGAATTCTCAAAAAAATACAAAGGTAAGCAAAATATTAAAAGTTTCATGAGTAATAAATGAGAAACGAAGTGAGCATATGTAAAATGCAAAATAGCGAAACGAAAATCACAAGATATTTTAATAAATCATGATACATGAGAGTAATGCCGCAAGCAAAAACTGTATGCAAAAGACTACGATATATGTAGGTGCAAAATTGGAGTTATAAAAAAATCTAGTGAACAAGAAATAGAAATAAATATGATAGGTAAGAATTCGAATTTTGATTTAAAGCAAAAATATGAGAGAAAGACAACTTTCTAGGGTCACCATAGGTGCATTCCAAAGCCCTAGACAAGAATGTCTATAGTCTATGGAATATTCTCATGTAGATCACTGATATCATCAGCGCACTTCAAAGTCTACACTGAGAATAACCATAACATTGTAAAATGAAAGTTAAGTTCAAATATGAAATATTACAAGATTAGAAAAACTATAATAATTTACCAGTGTAAAGTATGAAAAGAGAATTACTATACTGAATCTATAAGAATTGGCGATTACTTCAAGTCAAGACAGAAATTGAAAGAAATAAGAAGCCGGAAAAAAGATTATGAGAGCAGACTATCAAAACAAATGCAATAATGCAAAAGCAAAATCACCAGATATTTCAAAATCTATAGCGAAACATGAAAGCAATGTCGCAACCAAGCTCAAGACTTAGCAATACGCACAAATGTGCACAAAGGCTGAAAGCATATATGAAAAATCTCAAGAAGGAATTGACAATTACTTCAAATCAAATTGAACTGATTGAATTGAACTGAGACATAAATAACTATATCAAAAGTGAGTTTTACTTATACGCCAGAGGTTTCAAGAGTTTATCAATACGCACAGATTTGCAACTAGGCGGAAAGCATATATGACAAGTCTCAAGAAGGAAATAAAATGCATATGAAGAAAACACTTTCAATTAAAGAAACTGTGGATAGTACAAGACCCTCAAGGCATACATCGCAACGAATCTATGTAACTATCCAGACTACAAAATACTGTCAAAGTTCAAAACCACTCAAAAATATGTCAACAAACATCAAAAGTTTGAACCAAAAATCAATGTAAGTCTGTGCTCTCGAAGAAAGTTATAATGAATTCAAAAAGAGGATACTATCAAAAACTTCAAAAGTAATAGACTTCAAAAATAGAAGTACGTCAGTATGTAAAGGAAATTCAGAAAATATACGCATAAAAACATTATAAAATATTATACACAGTATTTGTCACATGATTTAGATCGGGAATGCAATTTAAATTTTGAGTACACTCAGAAAAATGAAATATTCAAAAGATGAAGTATACACATTAAATCGGAATCAGAAAAATAATGATTACTTGTAAATTTTGTACATGGTGGACTGACGTAATGGTTCAAAAGGTTGAAAGAACAACGATGACTAATGTCCAAAGTAAACATTCACCTGCCTTTTACAGGAAATTAGCTTAACAATGATCAAAGGAAATTCTTGTCCGTTCGCATCTGTACTTGGAAATAAATATAGGAAAACCTACTCGCTTCAATGTACAGATCGAAAAACTCGCCCCCTTCGATTAAGCGGAAAAATTTTTGTAATTATTATATTTAAAAAAAAAGTTAAAAACGTGAATACATCAATAAATGACAAGGATCCAAAACACTATAAAAAACTAACAATACAAACAAACAGTTTCAATACGAAAACAGGAGCAGCCGAATCTTAAAAAAAATTATTTTATATCTGTCATACATTAAAAAAGTACAGAGACGTTCAAGTCCTGTTAATCCAGTGGAAAATCAGACACTAATGTTCTAATTTCCCCCAAAGAATATGCCAGATAAAACTATAAAACATTAAAATTATGAAAACTTATGCTCCAAACAAGAGACAAAATTACTACAACAGTTACTGAGGAACGTATACTATATATTTAAACAACAAGTTGACATTTAGTTACCATAAATGAGTATGTGTGTCTTTGTATAGGTAAAAATGATTTAGGAGTCACCCCCTCATTGAAAAGTAGCAAAAATATAGTCAAGAAAAACATCATTTGTTTCTTGAAAAAAAAAAAAAGGTAAGTATCAAAGTACTATGTCCAAGTGTCAATACTTGAAAAAAAGTAAACCGCCAAAATATACGAAAAATTATGAATATCAATTTCATATAATTCAGAAAAATGTATAAATCGCAAAATGATTTACTCCAGATAACTCTAGTCAGTAGATTATTGCCATCAGAATGAAAACAAATGATCAAAGGTTCAAGTACAGTCAAAAATTCAAAAAGTAAATACATTTGGGGAAGGCAAAAATAATTTTGAAAGTAAATTTCCTACGTACCAAACATCATGAGAGCTATATCAGTACACCAGAGATCCAACAATTAGGCTATATATGCATACATGAAAAGTCTCAAGAAATCAAAAAACTGCACATGAAGAAATACTTTCAAAAACTAAGAGGTTAGTGCTCAAAAATGAAAAGCATATAAGAATATGTAAACTATCAACAACAATAGTCACAACCTCAATCAAAAGTTTGATGATATTCGACAAAAATGCTGGGAAACCTAAAGTCCCCAGACTATCAATATTCAACAACAAAAATTGTCAAAATATCATCAATCTCAAAAGTACAATAAGAAAAAAGTTATAACTGTCCCCAGCAGTAAATAAAAACTGTAGTAGTATGTGAGACAAAAAAAATCTGGCAATGATCTCGCTGACTACTAAACAAGACAATTTAAAAGTTAATAGTATGCCTATGAAATAAACAGGTGGAAAAATTTTAATCTTTTGATAAAAATTTTAAACATTAAGCAAAAAGTAAGGATGATTAAGGAATTAGAAATTTGAGTACCAAAAGCAATTAAAAATAGAAATGCTGCCAAAGATTGTAAAGAATTTTGAAAACTATGTTCTGTCTGCCAATCTTTCACTAGCAAACCACTTGTCGACAAAGCCAAACACCTATCGAAGCCTCACGTTGCGGGTGCCAATTTATGTAACGCTTCCTTTCCGCAAAAAGTCCAGAAAAGATGGAATGCAATGAAGATTCCAACTTTTCTGCACAATCACAGAAAGGGGGTTACAATTAGCTTCCGGTAGCTCAGTCGGTGGCATGAAGACATCTACAGGCGTGTAGCTGTGTGTCGACCATGGCATGGCTAGAGGATAGAAGAGCAAACAGAACACAAAAATTTAACAGATTTTATTTAACAAAAAAAAAGGCATTTTCATTACATTACAATTTTACAAAAATAACAAAATAAGTTTTACATCTTTGGCGCTGCTATAACGCTATCGACTTATCTTTCGCTGGTCCATTTTTACTCGACTGAAGCGAGGATGGTTGAAGTGGAGGTCCCAGTTGTGAGGGGTGACCTCACTATAGTGGCTTCATGACCAGTTGTAGGCGAAGTTAAAGGCGATGGCGCTGCCAAGGCACATGCATGGGTGAAAATATTGGCCAAGGCTAGGCAAAGTGAAAGGGAAAGAGAAAGGGGGTGGCCCCAATCATTTTTGTCCTATACGGACACACATTCTAGAAATCTAGCACATGGTGCTATATAACCTGGTGGTACTGAGAAGAAATTTCTAGCCGTTGTTCGATCGGCGGCTCAAGTGAAAAGAAAGCGCGAGGAAGATCGCAGATCAGGAACTCCGCATCAAGCGCTCCAAGCGGAAAATTTTCCAAGCAAAAAAGCTAGAGATGGGATTAATGAAATGATAATCGAGAAGTGATTTAATAAATACGATCGGACGGTGAAACCGTTACAACTTTAGATAACTAACTGGTATTCACAAATGCCAAAATAAAGTCTAACAGAAGCTGACATTCACAACACATCTTTCATAATATTCCTTATCTTTCCATTCATACACTACTTTGTCAACCAACTGGTAATTTCGCCACGAAAAAACTTTAAATACCTCATCAAAAAATCGCTAAAAGTCTTTCAATCTGTTTCAGTGACACTTCTGTGTTAAGTCTGTACTGTTGGCAATAACGAATCAGGTAAAGCTCAGTGCCGTATTTAGATCTATTAACACAAAACTAAAAAATGTTATTATACAATAGGAATCATTTCAAAACGCTACAAAAATACAGGTGGCCAATATAACTGACTGATTTAAATTGCGCACCTTTTTTGATACACGCATTTCAGTAGGTGGCGTCGTAGTAGTTGTTTAAAGCAAATGTGTTCAATTCATCATGGAGCGCTACACGATCCCAGTCGATTTGTTGCACCGATTCGGAAGCTACGACAAGATGTCGTTCGAAATAATGTACCCAGTGTCAACACCATTCATCAGCTGGTGCGGAAATTTTAACAAACAGATGAAGACTTGCCAAGGTCGGGCCGTGTTCGAACTGTTCGTACTCCGGGAAATATCGACAGAGTTCGTGAAAGTGTAGTGGGGCGCCCTGAGACGTCTACCAGACATCGTTCTCAATCACTGGGTATTCATCGCACGTCATTATGCTCTATTTAAAAAAAACTTTGCAGAATTGTCATCCTCGTCGAGTCACAGTTTGACACGACCTTACTTCTTTGAAGACGCTGCAAGTAATTCTCTTACTATCACTATCGAGCGCTACCGTCATATGGCTGCTTAAATCCAACAATTTAACCTGCAAAACATGTTGTTCCAGCAGGACGGAGCAACTTTGTCACACAGCTAGGGAAACAAGGAATCTTTCCATTCCACAAATATTCAAAATATAAACTAGTCAGTTACATATCGACCACCCTGCATATACGTCTATAGAACTCACTTCCCTCTTAATTCAAGTGCGTGCAGATGCGACAGAATTGTGTGTCACTTGACGATACGGCACTGTTATTATGTAAAAAAATATATATAATGTCGGTAAAATGTCACCTTGTGTACTAGATAGCCGCTAGTTCATTCCGCCTTTAAGTGAGCATGAAGTGAATGTCATCTAGTGACATTTTATAGAAAAACCTACATAATGTCAAAAGAACCTACGTAAACATCCAAATGATGTCACTTTTCAAGTTGCGTAATACGGTTGCGGGTTATTATGAATGCTACTAGATAAGCACCTGTCATTTGCCATCTCGTTTTGTCATGAAGTATCGTGAAAAATAGTGTAGATAAACGAACTAATAGTATTTTAACATTACTTGCATTATTTTGCTGATTCAGAACGTCAAGTTACTCACCTGGGCGCTGAATCCACAGAAAAAGGCGTACCAGAAGTGGCAGAGCGTAAATGCGAAGTTCTTGTTGAAGAAATACCTGAGAAAGCTACACATCCTGTAGTAGGACCAACGTCCGTGAACCAACAGCAACCGTTCCAAAAATCGGAATTGTGCTATAGAATAGTCGGACGCTAATACTGCTTGCATACCTTCTTGACCAGATATTCCCACTCCAATATGGGCAGCTGAAAGTTGAACATAGAAAAAATAGATTATTTTTAGTTGCAACGTGATTATTAACAAATAAAAAAAACCAAACGCGCGAAAAGGTTATACGAAAAAAGGAGATACGGCAACGTACTACGCTACTCTGACTCTAGTTTGGCTCATTCAAAAATACCTTTGATCATGGATACGTCATTTGCTCCATCGCCGATGGCAAGCGTCACAGCCCTTTTTGTCTTCTTCACCAACTCAACCACCAAAGCCTTTTGCAGTGGTGTCACTCTGCAGCATATCACAGATCGGCACCTATGTACAAATCAAAGCATTACAAAGCGAAACAAAAGCAATAACAATAAACAGACTGTAAAAGAATGTGCGGAATGAAAAGAATTCCCAACTATTTTTCAATATAATCGATAGGTGGACTCTTCTTACACTACAAGCCCCTTCGCACTTCAGTTGGCCCACTTCAAGATTTGTACCAACATATGCCTTTATAAACTAAACATGACGAAACTATTTACTTCTAAATCAATTTATTTTCTCAAAAAGATTCTAGATACACTCTAGTCCATTGATTCCCAAAGTGGTCTATATCGACCCCTAGGGGTCTATGACAATCTGCAAGGGGTCTACGTCAGCGAAAAAAAAATTGGGGGTCCATGAAATGAATATGGGGGTCCACGATAGTGCATCTCAACACATACACTGATATAAGTACCTATGAAGTAAAAAATTTATTATATATGTTTATAAAATTGTGTAAGTTGTAGGATGTTGGTATTCGCTTTGTGGTCGCAATACATTTTGAACTTGTAAAAACCTGAGAGTCGCAGTCTCAGAGCTTCGCTACCTTGCACTGACTTGTTCAATTCGTCACTCTATAAATACGAATGTGGGACAAATACGTTTATTCGTTTCCTGAATCTTGAAAATGCTAAGAAAATATTTTAAAAAATATAAACAGATAGTATATCACACAAATTATAGTGAGTCAGTGTTATTTTGTTTGAGGTGCTGGAGAAAAGTAAGTACATTATTTTTTATTAAATTTTAGTTTTGTACTCGTAGTTAGCAAAGATAGATAAATTACGCCAATCATGACTTTAGTTATTAGTAGTTAAATATTCAATCATGCAAAATTATACGAGTACTCCTCAATAGTTTCTTTTTGAAAGTTTTAGCAATCGGTAATATAATTACAGTGCAATCTCCGTAATTCGAGCTAATTGTTGCAAGAAGATGTTCGAATTATGGAATGTTTTTGGAAAATATATTTTTACTATACAGCTGCTGGATTTTCTGTCTTATTTAAATAATTTAATTTTGCCCACAGATGACTGATGCCATGTCAGTGTTGATTATTTGAAATTTGGCTTCATTCCATCATTGCCGGACAAACAATCGCCTATGTGCCTTTTATGCAACAAAGTTTTGGGCAATGACGCTATGAAACCATCTAAACTGCAAGATCATCTGAGAAGATGCCACCCTGATAAAACAGAGAAAGATTTGAAATACTTTCAATCACTCAAAGGTAAATTTCAGAAGAGACCTACACTGGACAGAATGTTCGCTTCGACGTCACAAAGAATTGATGATGGTTTGCGGGCGTCTTACAATATCTCGTTACTTATAGCAAAATCCGGAAAACCGCATACTATCGGAGAAAAGTTAATTTTGCCAGCCGTTGAAGATGTTTTAAAAACTGTTCTACACAAACCTGCATCTGATATCATTAAAAGAATTCCCTTAAGCAACAATACTGTTGAAAGACGTATTGATGAAATGAGTTCTCGCAAGAACTTTGATAACCGACACTAAAGGTGAATCAATATTTCATGTTTTGAAGGATTACTTCATTGAAAAAGCAATTCCTTTATCAAATATGACATCAGTAGCTACAGATGGACCACCTGCCATGGTTGCACGTTATCGTGGATTTATAAGCTATTTAAAACAAAATGTGTCAGGGGTCTTAGCAATACATTGCGTCATCCATCGACATTTAGTTGCTAAAAATTTGAGGGTGACATTGCATGAATCACTTCATTTAGTCATTGATGCAGTAAACCGAATCCGAAGCAACGCGTTGAATGATCATTTTCTCTTTGTAGATCCTTTGGGCTTGAAGTACCACAACAAGTGGCTATAACCGGCCGCGTGGTTGTGGTTAGATGTCTCCTTGAAAATTCAAGGTCTTCTAGCCGTTTTGTACTACAATGTGTAGGTTGGCTCTTGTTGTGGACTTCGTGTTTCGGTTTTTTTCCCTCTTCATCTTCGTTTCCTCAGGTCACACCCGTATCCGGATGTGTGGGCATGTGTATCTACTTTGGTAGTTAAATATGTGCATTCATTTCGGGCCTGATGAAGCCAACCAGCAGAAATACGTATCGCTCGGGTTACCTATCCTATTTTCTGCTCGAATCCACTTTCCCCCTTTTTGCGCATTTTGCCCATTATTTTCCTACTTTTTGTTATATACCTTTCTCCGCATGATCATTTTCTATATACATATATATATATACAGGGTGACTTCGAAGTTGAGTCATTTATTTTAAGAGTGAGTAGATCTGATCAAAAGAAATGTTTTTTCCTTTAACATTTTTGTGGTAAAACTAAAGTAACAAAGTTATAGCCCTTTAGAAGTTTGAGTACCGGCCTGTCTCAATAATAATATTATGTGCTCGTGTTTGGCGACAACGGATATACTCCGCCTTATCGGTTCATCGCATCGGAAACAAAAAAGCGAAAGAATTTGAAACGCTGATCACGATGTTTTTATTCAGTCTGTGTCAGTCGATACCGCGTGAGTGAATAGTGGTGATTGCTGCGTGGCTCAAACGAAATAAAAAACATATTTATGCGGATCGGTTTCCCAATCGAATGCAACCAACCCCTCGTGCCTTTGTTAATGTAGTACAACGGGCTCGTGAATCAGGTGACTTAAGACCTCACAGGGGACTGCATGCCGGTGCTCCAAGACCTCACGATCAAATACAGGTCCGCACTGAAATACTTGTCGGGAGGATACTTTATAAAACCAGGTAAAAAAAAAATTATTTTTTTTTTATTTTTACACACATATTTTGGTTTATCTTCCTTCTACAATCATTATCTGAAAATTAATGACTCAACTTCAAAGTCACCCTGTATATATATATATATATATATATATATATTGTAAGGGTTTTGATCCGTATAAATTAATAAAGAAATAATATCATATCGATGTACATAGAATTTTGATTACAATATTACCTTTTCTTTGCTCAAAATCATTTAAAACATATGAATATTAATCTCATGTGAGGTACCGAGTTTTATATATTAATATATAATTTAATAATTAATAATTACTTTTGTTTGACATGTAGTATCTAAAGGGATATATGGCTATCTTCAGTGTTCTAGTAGAAAGGTGGGGGGTTTTCCGCTATGCTCACTAAAATATTCAAAGCCTTATTTTCGTCAGTGGCTGTTTTGGAACGACCAGATCGTGGACAATCCTTTACATGTCCTGTTATTTCAAATTTCCTCGAAACAGTAGACCTTGTTATTGGGTTGCGATATTTGTTGTTTTTAAGCAAATCACCTCTATCTGAACGTCTGATTGCCTCAAGTTTCTGTTCTATGGTAATGACAACGCGTTTACGTTTATTTATATGCTGCTTCATCTTAGCGATTATGAACCTGAGTGAAACAAACATACACGCACACAATTCCGCAAACGCGCTTGGGGAATCACCGGCAACGAATCTAATGACGCAAACGCCGAAAGGGGAACTACCGGCGGCTATTTTGGATCATGCGCCGATTTCTCGAACAACTTCGATTAAAACGGAGATATTATTGTATACGATCTATTTCGGATAAAGAGGATTTCGGATAATCGCGATTCGGATAATCGCGGTTCTACTGTACTTGATTGAACTTTTGAATCCATAAATGGTTGTTCGGATAACTTGAATATCAAAATAACGATTGCTTACCTGCTGGTGACCTCGCAGAACAGCCTTTCCAAATTTGGATGCAGACAGTGCACCAAAGAATGTCCATTCACAACTATGGCGAATATTTGATCATCCGCGTTCGGATCATCCGATAATGGAGGGGGCACTTCTTCGTCTCGATGCTGTTCCAGCTCAGTACTAAAGAGAAATTTTAATTTAGCGTCCACATAGTTTTATGAATAAGCGATAGCTCGATTCAAAAACTAAATTGACTAACACTGCGTTTAGAAATTAAGCATGGCTGGGTTACGCGAAGAAATATTTTTATCTCACCAATCCAGAGCTGATTTTACGCACATTTCACCAAAGGTCGCTGTATGTGGCTTAAAATGAAATTCATAGAAGATGTGTTTTTCAAATTATTTTAGTTGGTTCATCTACTTGAAATCACATACTTATATGTATATGTTCAGAGCTTTTACGTCCCTGACATCGGTGGAACCAAGAGAATACAGCAACTGAAAGTTTCTGCAACAACTGACATTCTAACGTAAACTAACTGATAGATGAAACTACTTAAATGCTAAAGGCATTTATATTTTTCCTATTTGGTTAGTTGTAGAATAGATTGTGGTGTTAACTACAAATAATGGTGTTTGGAGATATCTTCGCAGTATATAATATTCCCAAACACCACATTCATATACAGGGTGTTAATTAAGTATGTACCAAAAATTTAACAGACGATTATTTGTGTCATTTTAAGACAAAAAATTCATATTAACATAGGTCCGAGAATTCTTCGTTATCAAGATATAGACTGTTAAAATTAAAAAAAAAAAGAAGATTTTTCACAAATATCTTAAATATCCTTTACCTAATTTTGTTGTCATTTGGCGGTGTTATTTATAACATTACTTTAGTAGTGTCCTAAGTTGGTCAAGTTTATCAAGTCCAGTGGCATCTCGAGCGGGATCTGAACGAATATTTGTGACAAAGAAATGTACGCTTCTGACTTTTGTGTTCTTTGGATTAAACAAATAGAAATACAACTTCATTGTAACTTTTTTTTGAAGAAAAAAAAGTCCCATTAATTGCATATCCCTGGACCACAAAATTATAAGAAAAATAATTTTCGAAAAAAAAAATGTTCTCCAATCCTTGTGTGATCCAGGGATATGCACATAAATTGACTTTTTTTTCTCGAAAACTAAGCAAGATACGAAAAAAATCTAGAGATAAAAAAGTTGTAAGGGTTTTTTATCAAGGAGATTGTCTTTCTAAATAAAACGCGAACCATTTGAGATATGTCGAAAATTTTATTACTGGATTGAAGTGTAGTCAAAACATTTATGTATTTCACATTCACACATTTCGATAGAAACGGCAGCTATCTCTCGTTCAAAATGGCTCTGCGCTCCTCTAACGACGCCCGCTTGTTGGCATAGAGCAATGATTTAATGTAGCCCCACAAAAAAAATTCTAGAGGTGGTAAATCACACGATCTAGGCGGCCATTCGACAGGACCATTTCTCGATATAACGTTCACCGAATTTTGATTTCAATAAGTCGATTGTTTCACCCGCTGTGTGGCTTGTGGCACCGTCTTGTTGAAACCACATATCATGAATGTCTAGCACATCCAATGACCAAAAAAATAACGTTGCAACATGTCTCTTTAGCGATCTCCGTTGACTAACGTGACGGTCATTTTCATCAACGAAAAAAAAAATTACCGCGTAATAACACCACCGGCATGAACATCACATCATACAGTTTTTTGTGTGTATGAAGTGGAGTATATAACGCTTATTCTGTTGTTGACGAAGCACCACCAAATTACAACAAAATTAGACAAAGGATATTTAAGATATTTACGAAAAAAAAATATTTTGTGAAATTTTAACACCCTGTATCTTGAGAACGAAGAATTTGCGGAACTACGCCTATATGAACTTTTTGTCTTAAATTTACCTAAAGAATCGTCTGTTAAATTAACATCCTGTATAATGCGATTATAATGTTGTTAGACAGGAAAGTGCATGTCGACAACGCGCAACTACATCTAAGCTGAATCTATTCTAACAGCGATTGTTAGTTACACTCTTTAGCGTTATATCGTTCATACACGACCTCTACCTTGCCCTCATATAACCCCATTCATCTTCGGAGTGTATATCATCGTCAGCCCACCTGTTGTTATAAACAAAATACATATTGAAATATTGGCCAAAACATGAAAACGTCGCACATGAAAAATATTCAAAAAGCGTGGATATAATTTACATGAGAATCATTAACTAGGATATATATCTACTGGTTACAGACTACAGATTGATGAAAATCATATGAACAATTACTAGTTCAATGTGATTTCATGCGTTTACTGGAAGCAATGATTTCCAGTTTACCTAGCAGAATAAATAAATAAATAAATAAACTCAAATAAAACAAAATGTATGCTTATAGGAAAATGTTTAGATGAAAATACGAGTAATCATGAAAAAATGTTGTCAACCGAATCATTTAAATATTTGTGCATATACAGTAATGGACAAAATTGTATAGACAAATATGAATATTTACCTAAATACCTTTAGAAAACGAATTCATACTTCATTGCTCCATAAACAAATGCGTTATTGGAAAAAAAATTCCTTGTTTTTACATTATCTGCAATGAACACAATAGTCTAAATATAAGCACTTTTTTATGAGGGACAAAAATATGTAGTCAAATTCTTTTCAACGTTAGTTTAGCACAGTTTCGTGTCAGAAGAGGATTAGTTTATGTTCATCAAGTATTGTGGAATAAGTTGAGTGATTTTAAGACCATGCCGCGTGGCACAGAAATTTCTTTCGTTGTGAAAACTAAGATCATTGAGTTATTTATACAAAGATGATCAACGTCAAGCCGACATTGCCAAAAATTTGAAGCTGAAGCGTAAAGCAGTTTGGGCAATATTGAACAAATATAAACAAAAAGGTATCTTGGAAGCCTGTAAGAGAAGTGGTCGGCCTAGAAAACTACATGTTAGATCAGTTAGATTGATAAAAGTAATTTCGTCCACAGATCCGTTTAAATCACCAAGACAAATAAAAGCTGAAATCGAGACGAAAGGAATTGTCAGTGGTTCTACGAAAACTATAAGAAGAAGATTAAATGATTTGAAGTTAATTGCACGTCGCCCCAGTAAGAAGCCGCTAATCTCGAGGAAAAACCGTAAGGACCGATTACAATTTGCACGGGAGTCTAATTAATTTATTTATGTATTATAAGAGAGTATTATGCTATAACGAATTATGTATACAGGTTGCTGTATTAATAAAACAAGTTAAAAAAGAAATAGAGCACAATATTGATTTGTCTATATACTTTTGTCCATTACTGTACATACGTAGATAGTAAATTAAAATTTGAAGGGCACTATGGATATATTATTTCAAAACTATCCAAAGAGACATTACTTTTAGAGAATTTCGCATAGCCGAAGTGTTTATTCTTTATACAAATATATTCCTTTTGTGGTATATGCATTTCTTCACAATGTGCAATCGATGTGAATAAATTATTATTATTATAAAATTGTGCACAACACTATCATTCTTCCTCATTTGTTATACTGTTCCACTATTTTGTTAACTGCATACGACACTGTATTTCCAAAATTACAAATATTACAACATAATGCTACCAGAATATACTAGAATAAATTGTATACTGGAAGAACTGCAATGGTTAAATATTAAACTTTCATAACCTACTTGGTTTTCATTTTCAAGTTAAAAAATCATCTACCAAATCACTTGGAAAATTTTATTGAATCTAACAATGAGCAAGATAGTTATTCTTCTATAGGGAGTATAAACTTTCATTTACAAAATAAATTTTAATTAATGATATCAAGATGTGTGCCAGATTGAAAATGTTTAAAGGGAAATTGAAAAAAAAATTCACGGAAAACCAAAACTCATATAGTGAAATTTTGTATAAAAATACGTAGACCTGAAGATGGATATACTGTGTAACATTGTAATTGTAGCATTAGTGCTAAATAAATCTATAACAAACAAACAAATAATTACGGAAATGTGTTGATATCAATGGCTCGTTTTCGTGGGCCATCTTTATCAGTTTATTTTATAAATGCGATTTCAAAAAAGTGATAGGAACTATTTACAAGTGATGCATGATTTTTTAATTTATTTGGGGTGTTCTATTAGCCCCTATAAACCCCCACGTTTGTCTGGATATTGGAACCACAACCTCTCTGCAAATAATACTAATATAGAGAAGTGAAGCTAAAAATAGTAACCCGTTCAATTCACGGTGTAAACGAAAACAACAATGAGACATTTCTATTGACGTCAAATGAAAGTTCGTACCCTCTTTATTGTCATCCATATTCAGCTCTTCAAATATTTTTAACACGCAATACAACGGATGATATACAATCTGTCAAATTTTGCCGTTAAAAATTAGTATCGAACGGTAAACCTCAGTCTGTTTAAAATAGGTAATAATTTTTATTCTTTTTTGATACTTCGTTTTTTCAGAATTTGTCAGGTTTTCACATAGATAGGCCACCGTGCTTCTGACACTGTAAAAGAGTCAGACGAAGGTACTTTGCCATGACATGTCAGTTCCGCTTGCTGACACCTCTGCCAGGGCGTGGCTAAGGCCCGTATCGTCAGTCGTCCCTACAATTGTAGGGAGCCTTTATGGCCTCCTTGATTGTCATAGTTTTCTACTTCTCCGTGTCAGCGCTCTATTTTGAGGTTATGTCACAAACATCTATTTGCATCAAATTGTGCTTGCTTTTGAGTTATATCATGTTTTATCGGCCTGAAATTTCCTACAATTTAAAAAGAAAACACATCTTCACAATAGGAGAGCGCTGACGCTGATACGGGACAAGTGTAATCTAGAAATTTTTTGAGGAGAGAAAGGAGTATGACAATCAAGGAGGCCATAAACGCGTAGGGACGACTGACGATACGGGCCTTAGTCTTTTAGTACTGATTATTAAGGAAAAAGAAAGTGAAACTGTATACGCGTGCTGGGTATATAAAAGTCAGTTCTGCGAGTACAGTGTTTATTAGGGTGTCCCAGGACAAATTTTTGTTTGAACTGAGATACGCATACCCTCTATTTTTTTTTCATTCGACTCCAACAACTCAATAAATAAATATTACTGCGATCGGGGAACGTGACTTTCGGTTACACTTTGAATTTGAAAGTTAATAGGGAAACCATGTATGGATTTCAAAACCCAATTCTTATTCGCCAAATATACTAAGTGACATATAAATCCGAACACCCAGTTTAAATGGTTTTATTTTAATAAAATTTTGTATAGGTACTTAATGAAGCATAATAAGTAAATGATAAAAATTTCAAAATGATTGCACTGCTTTAAAGCCCTTTGACCTTTAATAATGTGTGGATGCACCCTGATGTGCTACGCATTCTCCAACGCGCCTAGGCATGCTTCTGATCAGGTGGTCAATGTCCTCCTGTGGTATCTCATTCCTGAGGAGGACGTTGCAAATTGAGCAATCTCCTACCCATCATATCCCACACGTGCTCAATTGGGGATAAGTCGGGAGATCTTGGTGGCCATGGTAACAATGTGACATCATTATGTTGAAAGAAGTCTATTGTGACTCTTGCAACATGTGGTCGGGCATTATCTTGTTGGAAAGTTGGATCTGCCAGGGTGTCAAGATAGGGTAAAAGATGGGGTTCTAGAACTTCGTGGATATAACGCTGCGCGTTCATGTTACCTCTGATGAAGATTAAAGGTGACCTGGAACCATAAGCTATAGCACCCCAAACCATAACTCGAACAGTGTGATGAACATGTCTTTCAACAAAAAACTGTGGATTCCTCCTTTCACCACGTCGCCTTCTAACCCTTACACCGACGTAATCGCCTTGAGTGGTGCAGACAACGGTCACTCTGGGATCAGGAATGGAACAGTATTGTCTTTAGTGACGAGTCTCGATTTTGTTTAGGCATGCACGATGGTCGTGCCAGTGTTAGAAGGCGAGGTGGTGAAAGGAGGAATCCACAGTTTTTTGTTGAATGACATGTTCATCACACTGTTGGAGTTATGGTTTGGGGTGCTATAGCTTATGGTTCCAGGTCACCTTTAATCTTCATCAGAGGTAACATGAACGCGCAGCGTTATATCCACGAAGTTCTAGAACCCCATCTTTTACCCTATCTTGACACCCTGGCAGATCCAACTTTCCAACAAGATAATGCCCGACCACATGTTGCAAGAGTCACAATACACTTCTTTCAACATAATGATGTCACATTGTTACCATGGCCACCAAGATCTCCTGACTTATCCCCAATTGAGCACGTGTGGGATATGATGGGTAGGACATTGCTCAATTTGCAACGTCCTCCTCAGACTCTAGAAGCACTTCGAGAGCAGTTGGTGGTTGCCTGGAATGAGATACCACAGGAGGACATTGACCACCTGATCAGAAGCATGCCTAAGCGCGTTGGAGAATGCGTAACACATCAGGGTGCATCCACACATTATTAAAGGTCAAAGGGGTTTAAAGCAGTGCAATCATTTTGAAATTTTTATCATTTACTTATTATGCTTCATTAAGTACTTATACAAAATTTTATTAAAATAAAACCATTTAAATTGGGTGTTCGGATTTATATGTCACTTAGTATAAAACACTGCTTGATGCATGGTACCTTGCGGTAGAATCTTAATTTTTCTCTATGTATCTCCGCCAAGGAATATTATTGAAAGTTCTATTAATTCTCGATAGACGTCTAGTAACTTCTTTGGCCAATTCATGTCGATAAAATTCTAGGAGCTTGTCAGTCTGAAATATTCAAGCATCATAGCTTTTCAGTATAAATTTGTATTTTTTCGGGATCCACACTTTTCCAGCTCTCGCGAAAAAATTTTCAAACATTGGAATGTCAGGGCTTGTAGTCACTTGGCAGATCTTTGATTCAAACACGCCTTATAACACCAATTCGTAGACGTCATGGCGGCAAGTGAAAATAAGCGTTTCTTTATTAAATTTCTGTTCGAGAAGCACGCAGACTCCGTATTGACATTGTTCAAGCAAAATTATAGGGTCTGCGAACATTCATTTTTTGGGACACCCCAGTGTTTATAGTAGATATACCAAAGGATCCAGTATAACTCAACAAAACAGCATCAATCCCTGCTCACCTGAACGTGACGACGCTAACAGCAGGCGGCCCCAGCACCTCTCCTCTGCCTCCACCAGGATCATCCCTCTTGGCTGCTGGGGGCGGCGTCGACCTTCCGTTCTGTTGTTGCTGCTGTGCAGTCGATATAGCGGCTGGACTGCGCGGCTGGAATCGCTGCACGATGCGGATATTGTCGCGGAACTTCAGCAGCTGCTGGTGCGTCTCCTCGTACGTCGACGCGTCCACGATGAACACGTCCACCATTTCGTCGGTCAGCAGTTGGCACGAGTAGCCGATGTTTATGGCCGTTTCTGAATGGACGGAAAGCGAAGATACAATTGTTGAACGCGGTATAAAAGGCAGTCTATCGGTGGCCAGAGACAAAAACAAATACAAAAACCTAATATTTCTATCATTAAAATAATGAAAAATTGCATTACTTCGAGGAATATTGTCACAGTAATATACAGTGATGTTATATTCATATAACTTAGGGCATTCTTTTGTACAAGAAGTAAAAAAAACAACTTATAAAACAGTATAGTCTAAGCTTCCTTTAAAAAAAATATATTTTCGTTCAAGTTACATTCAAATCTCTTATTTTATAAAAATAAATGAAATATTTGCGATATGTGCTGAAGTGGTTTTCAGGCAGAACTATTCGATCGCAAGGAAGAATTTCACACAATCGACTTACCCTGTTTGTCGCCCGTTAACACCCATATTTTAATACCGGCCAACGCGAGGTTGGCAATGGTTTGCGGTACTCCATCCTGTAGTTTATCTTCGATAGCAGTTACGCCTATCAACATCATGTCTCTTTCTATCTCCTCGTAAATGGCGTCCAGCTTTTCATCCCTGTCTTCCATGGATACGGCCGCCTCCTGGTGCCGCGCCTTCCAGTCGTTGAAGAACTCTTCGTCTAAATCGCGGCAGGCAAGGCAAAGCGTTCGGAGACCCTCACCGGCGAATTTCTAGGGGACAGTGAAATGTTTTCTAAGCAACAGATCTTTTATTGATCCAACATCCAGTTAATATGGGGTTGTCCAAAACGGCAGGAGAAAAGTAAACGCATATTAAAACAAGAAAGATTGATATTCAAATCAAGTTGGGAACTTTATTTTGAAGGTTGATTTATACCATTTATGTATGAAAAATAATATCGCTCAAATGTTCTCCACGACTGGATTTACAGACGTCCACGCGATGGTCGAAAATTTTCAATGACATTTTGCAACATGGTCGGTTCTATGGCATTTATCTCGGCAATGATGTTGTTTTTGAGTTCTTGGAGGGTGGCTGGTTTGCTGACTTAGACTTTGCTTTTCAAATATCCCCATAAAAAGAAGTCCAAGGGAGTCAAATCGCACGATCTTGGTGGCCATGGCACATTTCCTCTGCGCCGAAATCACGCGATCACCGAAGAAGGACTGCAATCGATGGATATTGACGTTGGTTGTGTGGCATGTTGCACCGTCTTGTTGGAAATAAACATCGTCCATATCCATTCCTTCAAGTTGCGGCAAAAAATAGTTCTCTATCATCACGTGATATCGCTCAGAATTAACGGTAACGGCGTCCCCGGCCGCATTTTCGAAAAAGTAAGGTCCGATGATGCCTTTTGACCACAATGCACACCACATAGTCACTTTTTGAGGATGTATCGGCTGCTCTTGATACTCACGCGGATTTTCGTTCGCCCAGATGCGGCAGTTTTGCTTGTTTACCGTCCCATTCAAAGTGAAATGCGCTTCGTCGCTGAACATGATTTTTGATGAAAAATTGGCATCAATTTGGCGGTGTTCAAGGAGCCAATCTGAGAACGTTCGGCGCGAAAAATGGTCGGCCCGACGCAGCTTTTGCGTCAATTGGATCTTGTAGGCGTGTACATTCAAATCCTTGTGGAGAATGCGGAGCAAACTGGTTCTCGAAATGCCCAATTCTTGGGATCGACGCGTTGTTGATTGTTTCGGATCGTCTCTCACACTCTCCTTCACAACAGCAATATTTTCCGGTGTGCGAACGCTCCTTGGCCGGCCAGAGCCTGGCAGATTTGCCACAGAACCTGTTGCCTCGAATTTACGCACCAGACGACCGATGGTTGTTTCGTTTGGGCGGTTGTTGCGACCGAAATGTTCACGAAGCGCGCGAAACGTGTTTTTTATTTTTGCACCATTTTTGTAGTGCTCTTGAATAACTTTAATGCGGTCTTCAATCGAATACGACTCCAACTCCATAGCGATCATTGGTAAACATTCAACTAACAAAATGACATGTCGGTGACAGAAAACAAAGATGGCGTCTATGTCAAATTGACGTTTACTTTCCTGCGTCCCTATTGGACAACCCTAGAACCCATTCGTGTACGTAACAGTGACACCAAACCAAACAACTTTCTTTCAGGTAACCAAATAAGTTCGTGCGGTTTTTAGTAGAAAAATATAATTTTTTATTGAGAAACAATAAGACACTATTTATTCGTCGAGTAATTACCATCACATTCAATGACCTTTTGCCAACGTGGAACCAATTTTTGCATGCCGGTATTGTAGAACTCCCTAGATCTGGAGTAAAAAAATTGGCGGACTGCATTTATTACACCATCTCGAGTTGTGAACTGTCGGTGCCTCATACAGTTGTCAAGCGACAAAAAAAGGTGATAATCACTGGGCGAAATGTCGGGAGAATATGGCGGGTGCGGTAACGTTTCCCAGCCGAGTACAGAAATTTTTTTTCGGGTCACTTTTGCAGTATGAGGCTTGGCGTTATCATTCTCTTCCGATTGATCAAAGAAGGCTGTTTCTGGATGCTTGTACTTGTTGAAGCTGCTCACAATACAAGTTAGCAATGATGGTTTGACCCCTTTCCAAAAGCTCATAATGTACAATTGCAGTTGCTGTCCACCAAGCACACAGCAAAACCTTGTTTGGGTGCAAGGAAGCCTTGGGCGTGTGTGGTACCGAATCAGTAGGCGACAACCAATGATACGAACGCTTAGAATTCGAATACAAGATCCATTTTTCGTCGCAGGTTAATAACCGATTAAGAAATGATTCATTAGCGTTGCGTGAAATGTTTGCTGAACGAATGGTAAGACGACTTAATTTGTTATCACTTGTCAGTTCATGTGGGACCATTTGCTTAACTTCCACGTCTTTCCTAGCTGATGAAGATGCAAACTCTGAACATTTCTGCAAGTTCTTGGCACGTTGTCCTGGAATTTGCGCCCACAACCTGCCGAAGATCCTATCGATCAACAACATCCATGGCACAATGTGCGATATACAGCAACCGCACGAACCTTATTTGATTACCTGATATACGGGTGTCTCTCTCTCGATGGCTTAACCCTTAAATTTCGAATAAATATGTTCAGTGATTTTCAATTTTCGCATTTTACCTAGAACTCAAATCTCAAACGCGAAAACGAAAAGCTCATTCATCTTCATAAAACGCTCTTATGATATAATAGCTATTACTTACATTAAGATGTTCCTGAGTCTTTGTTTTGATTTCATCCTGTCCTTTTTTCAACCTCTCGTATATCACATTATCAGCTCCTTTACAATATAACCTTAACTTTCCGTCTTTTCTTAATATCACTGACATCCTCTTTCTCACATTGTTAAAGTCGAGGATGCACAACAACTCATAAATCTAAAAAAAAAATCATTTTTTAAAATTGATAAACTGCAAAGAGGTCAGAGAGATTAGTGATAAGAGCAACAAAAAAAAGTTGGAATGTCAACAAGGAGACTGGCTCGTCAATAAAGATCTAAGAGTACGATATCCTTGGAATTGAGGAATGGTCTTAAATATCGAAAGAGACTCAATTGCCCCAAATACTATCAAGTCCTTCGTATACCAAGATGGAAAAATCATTATTTTAGACGACAACGTAGAGGAAAGCCGTGACAGTGTTGGTTACAAACATAAAGCAAAATTTGCAGATAAAATTCTTGTCTGGTGCGCAATTTCTAACAGTGGTGTATCCCAACCTTTTGTGGGAAGAGTGAGCGGTGAAGTTTTGAATAGTCAGAGGTACAGGGTCCGTCAGAAAGAACGCATGTTTTTCGATTGGGTACTACATCGACTGCCCGGTCCCGTGTAGACGTGAAGTGATAAATTCTCATAATCAACATATTTAGTCGCATGAAAATCCGCATGTAGTTCGGGAAAGAAATTTTCAGCATGAATTTAGTGTGAACGTGTGGATTGGTATCTACCGTAATCGACTATTTGGAATTTTTAAAGGCTGAACATGCAAATATGTGGGATGATGTTATGTTAGATTTAAGAAGATTGGCCTGGTTCCAGCTTGATGGTTGTCCAGCTCATTATTCGAGAATAGTTAGAAACTAGCTGGACGAAAATTATCCAGAAAGATGGATCGGCCGTGGAGGACCAGTCGCCTGGCCTCCACGATCCTCTGACCTAAATCCATTAGATTTCTTTGTGTGGGGATTTCTAAAAGAAAAAGTGTACCAGACTCCCGTAACCACAAGAGATATGCTAATAGACAGAATCAGGAATGCATGTGATGAAATAAGGCCTTATTTGAATAATGCTATACCACGTTCGATCATTCGTAGATGCGAATTGTGTATTGAACAATTGGGTTTACATTTCGAGCAACTACGTTAGATTTTGTATGTTTGTCCTAACTATCCAATAGCATTTTAGTTGTAAATAATTAATTTAATTTGTTAAAAATAATATTGGAAAATTAAACAAATTAATATTCTGTTTTTTTGGAGTTAGGAATTATCGCCGTGTTTAAAAACACAATCTAAACGATCATCTTAATTACTTGTAATGCCCAAATCGAAAATGTAAAAAAAAATATTATTTTCCCATAAATAATTAAAAATGCATCGAACCTTAAAAATCGGAATATCTCAAAAACGGCTGACTATAACGAAAACTCACAGGAGAGCTTTTTTATGCAGAAAAGTGCGAAGAATCATTTTTTTTATTCAAAAAGCAAAACATTGCACTAAGAAAAATTTTTCGGTCATTTTAATACACTACAGGTACAGTAGAGAGTGCCCTCTAGCGGCTACAGTAAAACCATGCCCACGGCTCGTTTTGTCGTACCAAAAAACCCTTGTATACCAATTTTCACTGTTATACATTAAATATTGTTCGAAATATTTAAAAAAAAAACTATTTTAGAAAGTAAATTTAAACACCCTGTATTTCGGAAGCCACGCATTTTTCCACCCATGTTTATGTAGACTTTATGCATTAATTTTGAAAGTTCTATCGAATCTTAAAGTTATGCAACAATAAACTGAAACACCCTGTATATGTTTTGGCCAGACGTAGCATCATGCCATTAATCAAGGGATACCCAAAACAGGCATCGACAACACAACATTCCCAAAACCGATAATCTTACAAACTTGCTGCAGGCTCGCCCAATAGAGGATTTTTGAGCCTTAATAATAATAATAATAAATGGCCTTTATTCGTCACAAGATTACAAAATAATTGGCTTAAGAGGAATAGTGACGAAAAGGTAGAGTGACAGATTTTGCTGCTTTTCAACCCGACCTAAAAAAAAAACATTGACACAAACTATAAAGAGAAAAAAAATACCTACATTTAAATGGAACAGTTCACAGCATTGACTACCAAAAAGAGAAGATCTTAAAATATTACACTTCTCAGAAAAAGGAAACAATCAATTACCTGTGAATATGCGTAAAGTTAAATTCTAGCCATCCGATTGCTTTAAACTCATCTTTAACCTTTTTTAAAATTAAAATTAATGTCTAGGAAGGTTTAACATGGAGGCTGGGAAGCCCAAAATGAAGAACAATTGAGACGGCGAATTTATGAAAAACCGAGAGAAATTGATCTGAAATACGTCCAGGACCTCACAAGACACCTTCGAAGAAAGTTGCGTCTGGTAGAGCAGAATGGGCCACTTCACATATTTCGATAGCATACCTTAGTTAAATATTGAGTTGTAATTTATGATAACTAATTAGGGTTTAAATAAATTTCATAAAATAAATCTGATAAATATTTTGTGCCAAAACTTTTAGGATATACGTTAGTACACACACAACCGTTATCTGTCCAGCGAAAAAACGCAAAACGGAAAACGGTGAGATGCACTGCAGAAACCGAAGGCGCTTCGGTATCGTTTGAACAACATCATCAACTGTCTGAAGTTGATACTACACTACAATATGTAGAGCTAGAGCAAAAATAGTGAGAAAAGTGAATGTTTTCAATGTAATATGAGTAAAAGTGAAAAAAGTGAGTCGCATCTCTGCACTCCCTAATGAGCGTCAACTCAAGACGTCAGACAAATTCGGCTGACAGTGTAGATCGGCAGTGGAGCTAGCCTTACAAAAACTTTTTAGCGGTCTTACCTCTTTAACACCCATAACCTCTATCGTGATACTATTCGGCGCTCGTTCTTTGAATACAAAACCAAAGTTCCTAGCAGCACTCACCAACGCCGCCTCATCCGGACTTTGCGCCTGGTACTCTAGCGTACCGTCTTCCTTCGTTTCCGACATCACAGTATGACACAACGCGAGTAACCTACAAAGATGAACATCTTTTGAAATACAGGAACTCATCTGATCAGTATATGTTGTCGTATTAGTTATACTGACTCAGATTATGTGTGTCTTATCATAGAGTTATTCAACTCTGGTGCCATAAGTTTCATCATTTGAAAGAAACGCTTTATATTTTATTTCAAAATGGGTGTACCTTAATTACAAATCACCCAAGAACAATTATAGATTTGATAATAATGAACGAGCAGAAATTAATTGCAAAAGTTATGCATACAGTCAGTGATCAATCATGGATATGTTTTGAAGTTAAAAGTACAGGGGGAAAGTTCACATTTCAAAGTTGAATTACGCGGCAACCGTATACGCAAAAAAGTGGGGAGAGGTCTTAATCGACGCATTTGGCGTGCGGGTTAAATAGTCACAATGGAACGTTGGACCGGAGCGCAACGTACTTTTGCTATCGAGGCTTACTTTAAGAGTGGTGATTCATACGCAGCTGCCCTTAGGAAATTTTGTACACGATACAACAGGCTCTACTCTTAGTCAACCCATTCCTGGCCCCACGCCTATTGTATCAATCGAAGAAAATGTGCGTCGCGTAAGTGATTGGGTCATTGCAAAGCCCCGGCTTTCTGTACAGAAGCATTTCGCTGCTTTGGGAATCCCAAGGTCAACACTGCATGGCATAATGGAAAAAACAATGGGTTTTCATCCTTATAAAATCCAATCGGTCTGTGCTTTAAAGGAAAGTGATCACGTATTACGGAAATCTTGTGCTGAACGGATGTTGAATCTTTTACCTACGCAGCGCAGACTCGAGAACGTTTTTTTTCAGTGACGAGGCCCACTTTGACGGTTATCTGAACAAGCAAAATTGCAGATATTGGGCACCAACGGACAACAGCTACATAGTCCAAAGGTGACTGTTTGGTGCGCCATATCCTCTAGCGGCATTATTGGGCCGTATTTCTTTGAGAAGAAAACGGTCATCTATTGACAGTCAATTCCGAGCGATCCAAGGACATGACAGACACTTTTTTGTTCCTATTGTAAGAACAGAACGTCGATTTAACAGAAACACGTGGTTTCAACAGGATGGGGCCACTGCCCATACTTCCAGAGAATCGATGGACACGATGAGAGCACTTTTTCCTCAAAAAGTTATACAGGGTGGCGCAGAGGAAACGCATGTTTTCTGACCGAATGGTATTTCGCACAGAATAGGGATATGACCTCGCCGCACCGCCAGCAGAGAACACATGCGATGCAGTTTCAGCCATGGCACCGTGGATGACGGAGCATCGTGTGTTTGCCGTCGAGCAATTTTTTAGAAACGATGATTCTGTAGTGATCGTGCAACGTTTATTCCGTCGACAGTTCAATGTTGAACGCCACGGGCCAATTCCAGATCGAAACACAATACTCCGATGGGTTGAAGCATTTCGAAGTACTGGATCCGTAATGAAGAGGAAGCCACCTGGCCTTCCCCGTACCGTGCGGACTCCAGGCAATATCGAAACAGTGAGAAGAGCGGTCCTTGATAGTCCCCAACGGTCCACTAGGCGCCAAGCTCCAACTCTGCGTATGTCCCGTCGGTCGTTACAACGCATTCTGCATGACGATTTACAATATCATCCGTACAAGATAATGATCGTGCAAGAGCTAACGGAAAGCGATTTTGCACAGCGTAGAGAATTTTGTGCGAGAATGCGGGCCATTTTTGCTGACGATCCTGACGTCGTCATAATGATGAGTGACGAAGCACACTTCCATTTAACAGGATATGTAAACAAGCAGAACTGTAGGTATTGGACGGCCGAAAATTCACGAGAGCTACACCAACGACCCTTGCATAGTCAAAAATTAACTGTGTGGTGCGGAATCAGTAAATTAGGTATCGTTGGTTCTTACTTTGTTGAAGAGGAAGAAAGAGCAGTAACAGTTACTTCAGCACGTTATGTTCACATGTTACAAAATTTTCTGTTACCCGAACTCCAACGGCAACAAGTAAACATGGGAGAGCTGTGGTTCCAACAAGACGGTGCCACAGCTCACACAGCGAGAGCATCAATGGAATGGATTCGACAGATGTTTCCTGAACATGTGATTTCCCGTTTCGGCGATGTCCCTTGGCCCCCACGCTCCCCAGATTTGTCCGCATGCGACTTCTTTTTGTGGGGTTACCTTAAGGATAAAGTGTACCCTCACAAGCCTCGTGCGTTACAGGAACTGAAAATTGCTATTCGTCAAGAAATTGCAAGAATACCACAAGAAATGATTTTACGTGTAATGCACAACTTTCAAGAGCGGTTGGAGATGTGCGAGCGCGAAGCAGGGCGACACTTGAGTGACGTTATTTACCATCATTAGTTTAAAAGTGCACTATCATTACTTTATTTAGCTGTAACTGAAATAAAGTTATCTTGAAAATAAAAAATGTTATGCTTAGGTGAAAATCGTGCGTTTCCTCTGCGCCACCCTGTATATATATATATATATATACACATAGGTGAAAAATAAAGCTTCCGCCTTTTGTTGGGTACTTCGACAAAATTCAAGCAATGAGGACTCTTTATACTTTATTAGTCTCTAGCTTTCAATGGACTTTGCCATCTTCATCAGGAGCTGCAATAACATTGAGAAGATATAGCAACTATTGTGCAAAATGATTTTAAATTAACTTACAGTAGTATGTGACATTGTTGCTAAATGTTCTTAACATGTAAGTTTAATTTTTATAGTTAAAAGAATGTAATTGTAGCAACCATGCTAAATAAATCATAAACAAACAAACAAAGAAGAAATACGCACAAAAAACCACTAAAGCGAACTTAACTTCCTGTTGCAGTAATGCAGAATGCATTTTTATGCATCATTGAATGATGACCTGTTAATATATACCCACCTAAAAAAACTAAAAACATCCTGATCTCTCCTCCTAACAGCTTCTAATAGTCTACAATCGAAGAATTTGAAATCAATCTCGTAGTCAGGATTGAAGGAGAAATCCAATGGCTCCATGTCATCGGTAACCTCTATGATGTCACCCGTCCTCCTGTCTACTACGTCACCGTACGATCTCCCTGTTATGGAACATTTGTTGAAGGTCATTATGTTCTGCGTCAATGTTCCAGTTTTATCCGAGAATATGTATTCTATTTGACCTGTAAGAGAAACATTGGCAATAATTACATAGCGACAAAAATAGCGTTCAGACAAGTCCGCAATGAATGTCTCGCTTTGACGCACAAATAAAATGACAACTGCGCGAAAGTAAATTGTCTGCCTAGTCTCGCTGGTACCTTCGGATTTTATTGAAATTCTGAGCGAAAACACTGCTACGAAGGAAAAAAAGTTTGTGTTTGAAAATTGGTTCAACGACGTCCCGGAAGGTTGTTTTTTGTATCTTAACCTTTAGTGTTTTTTTTGCCTCTGCATGTCTCCATCCTAGAAAAATCTCAAATTTTATTGTTCGACGTTTTACGACTTTATAATTACAGGTCGTTGTCAATATTTTTTGAGTGGGTCATAGATTCTGCACTTAGGCAAATTTGTTTTTTAACCTGACGATCAAATTTCCTCGCGTCTGATATTCTCATGGACCTTACTTTTTAGATCTTTGAAATACATGTTTTAATGCAGCTTTAGAAACATCTGAAAGGTCCAGAATTTGTATATGTAAGTAGGTAAATGTATTTGCCTTAATGCGGTACTTGAATGAAAATTACACTTGACCCCAAAGACGTTGTCGACAATACAATTTACCATTACAATCAGGTATTTTTTTCATAAATCAGTTAAAATTATTAGCAGCAACTAACGTCATATGTGGCGTCCCCTAAGTTTTAATACGGGGCATTACTAGATACTTGTAGGAGTGTATACGAGGGCGATCCGATAAGTATTTAGCCTTCAAAAGAAAAACGCAATTTTTTTTGGAAAGGTGGCGATTTATTTTTCAACATAGTCTCCTTTTTACTTGATAAAAATGAGTTTTCTGGAGGCGTGCAAAGTTTGGAAACAAAAAGAAATCGCACGGCGTCAAATCTGGAGAATACGTGGAGGTGTGCGTTTTCATTGTGGAACAGCACATTTTCCTTCGCCAAATGGGGCCATTATTTTCTGCAATTCGGCCCAATAATTCAGCATAGTGGAGCCCTACGCAGTGATTCCTCTTTCGTACTAGGGCGGCCATAAATACACAACTTAGATTTAACCTTTTTCATTGTATTTTAAACCTTAAAATACAGTTGTACAGGGTGCGGCAGAGAGGACGGACGTTTTTGGAATGGCCTCCGTCTAAGAGAGAGGTGGGGAGGGTGCCGTTTGACTCGTGAGATCCTAGCATTATTTCACCAGTTGTCGTTATGGAGCCTTGGAAGGTGGAGCACCGCGTTTTCGCCTATGATTGTTTCGTCCGAAATAATGAGTCAGTCATCGTCGTACAGCGTGAGTTTCGTCGCCACTTCAACATTCATAGAAATAGAGCTGTTCTCTCTCGAAACACCATCCTTCGTTGGGTTGAATTACTTCGCAGGCGTGGTGAACTGATCAACAGAAGACCAATAGGAGCGCCGCGAACTCCTGAAAATGTTGAACGCGTTCGACAGGTCTTTATTCGCAGTCCGACTCGATCTGCCCGGAAACATGCTGCTGCACTTCGCCTTAGTGATCGTTCGGTAAGCCGAATTTTGCATATGGATCTCCGCTTTCACCCCTACAAATTGGCCATTGTGCAACAGTTACAGCCCGGAGATTATGCACAACGAATGAACTTCGCACGTGAGATCGAAGCACTGATCGATCAAAATGAGAACCTCATTTTGTTTATGAGTGACGAAGCCCACTTTCACAAGCCACAAGCCCCGAACTCTGGACGAATTGAAAAGGGCGAAATTCGCGTGGAAGTCGCCCAAGTTGAGAGAGCGATGTTGGAGAGAGTCTACGCGACCTTCCAAGAACGCCTCCAGCACTGCATCAACGATTTCGGCCACCACATGCCTGATGTGATTTTCCACACTTGACTGTCTCAAATGCTATTTCCTTGTGCACCTGATTCCATCAATAAATTTGTTTTCGAGTAAAAATTAACTATTTTATGATTTTTTTAAAACCGTCCATTCTCTCTGCCGCACCCTGTACAAACATGAAAATACAATTTATAAAATTCTTTTTTAGAAAAAAAAAAATACTAAGTAGGTACTAAAAATGTTTCTCAGTATTTTTGTTTTAGATATTCGTTTAGATCAACCCTATATTAAAGAAATAAAATAAAACAGTTCATAATAAGGGAAAACAAGATACATTGAAAAAATTAAACACTCTAATACTTATATTACATTATAATGGAAGGTATTAAGTTATCAAATCCAACACAGATTTTGACAATACGTCTTGTTTTAACAGGTAATTTTCGAAAACCCGGAATCAAGGGATCCGAGTGAAGAAGAAGCCCATTAATTGAATCGGTATTGGTCAAAAAAGGGCTGATTTTTCGTCTATGATCTCGTCGAAATGATTTAATGTGTCGCTTCAGCCGCTTCTTCGGATACTGCCCAATAGACAACACCACCATGAATTGCTCAATGTATCGCGGTATATCAATATTTTCAACTAGATTTAGCCAATACTAATACTTTTCTACCAATTTAGATTTAGCACGATTTGACTTTACCCAATATTGTGAAATTCGTTTACATAAATTTCTAATGCTATCACTTAATCCCCTAAATCAAAATTTTCGAAGTTATCTGAAAGACACGACGTTTCAGTCAACGCGTCGAGGATATAATTGCAATTTTTCTTCAGCACTACCCAAATATCAAAAATAGTCATCCTCGAAACAGAATACTCAAAAAATTTACCTAAAACGACAACAAAATTGGATTTGGGAAACACCTCTTTTTTCTTATGGTTCGGCACCTCACAAACCTCAGAAGGGGCAGCAAGATGCAGGTGAAATCTAGACATTCTATACTTTAAGGTAACATTTATCTCCACTGCAGCAAGGAGCAGCCAAAAGTTTATGACTCGAAATGAATTGATTTTGTACAAAAAAAAATCTAGCAAAAACAACTTCCTAATAAAAAAATTATATAAATCTCCAAAACGTATGTTTTTACATAAAAAAGGTAAATAATAGAGTACACACCCTATTTTTGCACTTCCATATTATCACCAAGTGAAAACACTAGGCTTGACATTATAATCCACAAAAAAGTAAGTTACAATGACTTACACGTCCCGGTAATTAGACTCCAGAAGCTGTCAAAATTTTAGTGGAGGAGCAAGCAGGCTTTCGAAAAAAATATTCCACAAAAACGGCTTTCCAGTTGGTAAATGAGAATTGGAGAAGAGCCATAGACTCACAAGAAGTTGTCATAGCAGTATTTGAAGAGGGCATTTGAAACGATTGATAGAGATATTTTGTTAGGTAAATTGAAGGCATATGGTATATCAGGAAGCGTTTCAGATTGGTTTAGAAATTACTTGTCTAAAAGGATGCAAGTTTCAAAAGTTAACACTATTTCATCAAACATTGAAAATACGTTGGGTGTTCCACAAGGCAGTATCCTGGGACCACTTCTTTTTATTTTATACATAAATGATTTACCTGCCATAGTCAAAAAATGCAAAATTCAGATTTTCGCCGATGACACTATGATTTATATAAGTACTAAAAATATTCAGACTGGTATCTCTGATATAAATGAAGACTTGAAACTTGCCTCAAAAATGTTAGCATCTAACAGACTCAAATAAAATACAAGTAAAACTAAAGCTATGTTAATCGAAAAAAAAAACAATGTACAAATGTTCAACTGAATATTGATGGTGAAGATATTGAATTTATAGAAAATTTTAAATACCTGGGGGTTTTGTTGACTCTCGATTAACTTTTGATATTTATTATGAAAAAGTTATAAATAAGATTAGTAGTAAAGTGGGATATTTATCAAGAGTTTCTGGATGTCTGAGTTCATATAGCAGAAAAATTATCTATAATACCGTCATTCTTCCAAATTTCTTGTACTGTTCGACTATTCTATATTTAGCAAATAATTCCATTTTTGAAAGACTGCAAATTTTACAAAACAAGTGCATGAGAATAATACTGAATAAAGATAAATACACTCCAATTAGACAAATGCTTAGCAAATTAACATGGCTCAATGTAAAATGTTTTATCAAATATCTTGTAATGATATTCATTTATAAAGTAAAAAATAATATATTTCCATCAAGTCTAACTAATTTAACATCATCAAATGCCGACCATCATTTACATAAAACCAAAAATAAACATGACTTCCATTTAATGACCAAAAAGTATAACATATGCTACAAATCTGTATTCCATCAAAGGTTGATTGAATATAATAAATTATACACAGAGATAAAAGACCAGAAAACTTTGACAAAATTTAAAGTAAAATTGAGGAATCACTTGTTAAACCTACAATTATAACTTGCCCAGCATTTACATCATACATCATATGGCTTGAATTTACTAACTCTAAATTGTTTCCAATTAGTCTGTTTATGTAGCCAAATGTACTAAATCTTTCTATTACTACTATTTGCGGTGGACGAAAGTAAATGGCAGTTTGAACTAATTGCATTGTTATTCATATTTTTTTTAAAAGCCTCGCGCCTACTCATAACTTAGCGACTCATTTAGACCGTTATAAACTCATGAGTTTTCGGCATGACGAGGAATCACTGTGCATCGGACGGTGAGGCCAAGTACTTATCGGGCCGCCCTCGTAAAAAAGCCGGTCACGCGATCCAAATCTTGATGGTAAGACGTCAAGATACAGGGTTACAAGATGTGAGCATAATACGAATTCACTGCGTACACGTGACTACTTCCGGCTAGTTGATACCAAACGACTCACCTAGCTCCTCGTTCAACGTCGTAGTCCTAGCTTTAGCGTGCGCGCCTGATACCGCATCGCACATCGCTTCGTCCCAATTGATGAGGAAACTTTGCACGAACCGGATCACCTCTACGCTCACGTACAACGATATCGGCACGACAGTGTTCAGCACGATGGCGTACGAGAAGAAGACCAGCAGGGCGATTATGGTGGCGCCGCCTAGCGGCTCTTGCGGCACCAGCGTGTCCCACGGTAGGTACCTCTGGAAGTACTGTCCGACCAGCGTCTCCCAGATGCCGCACGCCACCATGCAGAAAAGGCACATAGATAACAGGAAAAATACTATCTGGAAACGGAGGAAAAGCTTGTATCAAAAATTCAATGGTAACACTACGATACTATGTTATTAATAGCTAGTTGCATACTGACAGATTTTTGTTGTTAAATTACAGGAGACACGGTTTTGAGAAAAAAATGTGAGTTATGACGTTACCGATCTCACCTCGCGGCTGAATATAGCTCAACTTTTAAGAAGGTGAAATTAAATTGATAGCTAGAATACAGGATATGATTACTTAGCTCATTTTAGGAAGAAAAGTTTATATGAACATACAGTAATGGACGAAAGTATATAGACAAATATGAATATTTACCTAAATACCTTTAGAAAACGAATTCATACTTCATTGCTCCATAAACAAATGCGTTATTAGTAGAAAAACTAAATTCCTCGTTTTTACATTATCTGCAATGGATACAATACAAGTGAATATAAGTACTTTTTTATGAGAGACAAATTCTTTTCAACATTAGTTTAGTACAGTTTCGTGTCAGAAGAGGATTAGTTTGTGTTCATCAAGTATTGTGGAATAAGTTGAGTGATTTTAAGACCATGCCGCGTGGCCCAGAAATTTCTTTCGATGTGAAAACTAAGATCTCGATGTGAAAACTAAGATCATTGAGTTATACAAAGATGGTCAACGTCAAGTCGACATTGTCAAAAATTTGAAGCTGAAGTGTAAAGCAGTTTGGGCAATATTGAACAAATATAAACAAAAAGGTATCTTGGAAGCCTCTAAGAGATTAATAAAAGTAATTTCGTCCAAAGATCCGTTTAAAACCCGAAGATAAATAAAAGGCGAAATCGAGACAAAAGGAATTGCCAGTGTTTCTACGAAAACTATAAGTAGAAGATTAAATGATTTGAAGTAAGAAGCCGCTAATCTCGAGGAAAAGCCGTAATGACCGATTACAATTTGCACGGTTGCATCTTGATTGGAGCATCTGTGACTGGAAGAGGGTATGTTTCAGTGACGAATCCATGTTCAATATGTTTGGATCAGATGGTGTTCATTACGTTAGACGTCCTAGTGGACAAAGATTGAACCCCAAGTACACTTTGTCCACTGTCTAACATGGAGGCGGGTCTGTTATGGTTTGGGGGTGCTTTTCGGGGTTTGGGATGGGACCTTTACATAGAATAGATCGCATTATGGATAAGGTTGTATACACAGACATACTAAAGCATGTCATGTTACCGTATATGGATGAAAAAATACCAGTTCTCAAATGGCCTTCACAGTCTCCCGATATAAACCCCATTGAAAATCTATGGAAATACTTAGAGGAGCAAATACGAGATAAAAATTATTCAAACAAGGATGAACTTTTTGCCGCTTTAGAGCAAAAGTGGTGACAGATTGATGAATCTTATATCAAGAAACTTCTACAATCTAATCAGAGACGATGCCAGGCGGTGATTGATAATAATGGTTATGCTACAAGATATTAACACAAACATGGTTGGTTTTCTATAATTCAATGAACTTTGCTTCTTTTTTCTATAATTGTTTTGCTTTGTCTATATATTTTTGTCCTTCACAGTTCCATTTTTTTTCAATTAATTTTTTACTGAAGGGAGTCTAATGAATTTATTTATGTATAAGTGAGTATTATGCTATAACGAATTATGTATACAAATTGGTGTATTAATAAAACAAGTTAAAAAAGAAATACAGCACAATATTAATTTGTCTATATACTTTTGTCCATTACTGTAAGTCCTAAATCTTATAACTTTTGAGCTACAGGGTATTTAAATATTAAGAACAAAATCGTTTTTTCATCATTTAATACTGTTCTAGATATTTTCATGAAATCTGTCGTGCACCTACTACGCACCAATAGGCATTTTTGAATGTAGAATATTTTTAATCATTCTACCAGTAGTATCCGTGGGATGTATACTGAAGATCTTAAAAAAATTGCTTTGCCGAAAATAAAAATCATTTTTGAAATCGTTTATGTTGCAGCAAATTGGAACTCTTGACTTTTCTCCGTCTGATGCCCCGTTTTCGGGTAAAAAATAAAAACCGTTTTGGCTATTTGGATTAGCCAATCCCTCTCGGATAATTGAGTGAAATTAGCGCGTCTGCGAACTCTATGCATGATAATGCGATGAAACAAAAGTGCAAAATTCTGAGTTATATATATATACAAGCATGCGGCCAATTAATGTACTGCCAGATGTCGAGAAGCTCTTAGAAGGAATCATATATGAACAAGTCATTGAATATATTGAAGAAAATAAGATATTGACAAAATTTCAAGCAGGATTCAGAAAAAAGTATTCTACTGAAATAGCAATTCAAATGGTAGTAGAAGAATGGAGGCGAAATATGGATGAGAAAAAGTTTACAGTAACATTGTTCTTAGATCTCAAGAGATCATTAGTGACTATTGACAGTATTCAACTTATTACAATATTATTTAATCAATAGAAGTCCAAGAACTAAAATTGGCAATACATTATCAAACATTAAAAACATTTCGGTAGATCTGCCACAGGGTAGCAAATTAGGTCCATTACTATTTATTTTATATATTAACGATATTCCTGATATTTTACAACACTGCAAAATTATATAAATATTGTATATCAAATAAAGACATTAGAACTGCAATAGAGCTGTTAAATAATGATATGAAGAACGTAATAAATTGGTTAGATGTAAATAAACTTAAACCCAAACAAAACAAAATATATGCTAATATGAAAATATTTAGATCAAAATACGATAAATCTTACAATTAATCATGAAAAAATTGTGTCAATCGAATCATTTAAATATTTGGGCATATACGTAGACAGTAAATTAAATTTTGAAGGGCACTATGAATATGTTATTTCAAAAATATCCAAGAAGATAAATTACTTTTACAGAAATTCGCATAGACTAAGCGCTTATTCTAAAAAAATTGTCTACAACACTATCATTCTTCCTTATTTGTTATATTGTTCGACTATTTTGTTCACTGCAAATGAAACTGTATTTTCAAAATTACAAATATTACAAAATAAAACTATGAGAATCATCTTAAATAGAAATAAATATACCAGAATAAATTTTATGCTGAAAGAACTACAATGGTTAAATATCAAAAATTTTCATATTCAAGTTAAAAAATCATCTTCTACCAAATCACAAATTTTATTGTATTGAACAATGAGTGCCACAATTATTCTACTAGAGGAAGTATAGACTTTCATTTACAAAAATGCAGTAGCAATATAACGAGCAAGTCAGTATTTCAAAAGGGATTGTACGAATTTAATAAATTAAGTAATGATATCAAGATGTGTGTCAGTTTGAAAATGTTCAAAGGGAAATTGAAAAAATATCTCATGGAAAACCAGAATTCATAGTAGTGAAATTTTGTATAAAAATATGTAGTCTTGAAGACATAATATATTTTGTGATATACTGTGTAATATGGATATTATGGACATTGTAGCATTAATGCTAAATAAATCTGAAACAAACAGATGGAACTAACATAGAAACATCACTGAATATTAAGTAAAAATGTTCATATTGTTCGGATCCTGATACGACAAAAAAGCCTGGAATGTCTTCAACATTTTATCAGCGTATACTTCCATGTTAGCAAATATGTTTACAAGTTTTTATCAAAATTCAATAAATAATTCTGAGTGTTGCATTTTATATGTCACTCAGTATATTAATACTTTTTAGAATCAACAATAATTGTTATACACATATGATTGATTGTTAGTTATTAAGATATAATCCACACACAGGCGATGCCTTCTGTTTTTTTCATACTTACTTGACCATTTTTTGTATTTTGCGAATAAATATCATTATTAATAATTGTGTAAAAGTGAAGGTGGATCGAAAACAGTGAAAACGAGTGTTGAGATTGGAAAAAACATTTCCTGTACAGTCACTTATTATTTGGCCGAACATTTGTATACTAAGTGACATATAAATCCGAACACCCAGTTTAAATGGTTTTATTTTAATAAAACTTCCAATTATGTTTTCTAGCAAAGTTCCAGTGGTAGAAACGATTTAGTAATCGGTTTTAACTGTGTCAATCTGTATTTTTCAATTTGAAATCACAATGATGAATGCCAAGATTTTCAATTTTAGCGCTTACCTTAATATACTAAGTGACATATAAATCTGAACACCCAGTTTAAATGGTTTTATTTTAATAAAAGTTGGTGAATGTATTTATCTTACTGTAAATAACAAGTGAAAAAATGTTCAGCCTTAGCAGTTGGACATTCCGGTTTATATACTGCTTTTTTTTTTAATTCACTAACGCTCTAAAAATGAATATTTCAGCCGCAGTAAAGAATCAACGTTGGCGGATTTTGGTTCTTGACATCCTTTACGATCGGTTACGATGCCTAGAGTACGGAGACCTGTACGATTTCGTCAACTTAGTGAGTTTGATAGGGGCCGTATAGTGGGACTTCGGGAAGCTGGACTTTCTTTTCGGGCAACTGCAGTTAGAGTGCAAAGAAGTGTAGACACTGTGGTTAGGTGTTGTCAGGCATGGCTTCGAGAAGGCCGTACGCAAAGAGCAAGGGGCACTGGACGCCGCCGTAGAACAACAGACCGTGAAGATCGCCGCCTAAGATTATTGGCCTTAAGGGACCGTTTCTCCACTACCAGGTCCATTGCAAATGAATGGTTTGCAGAACACGGAAGACCTATTGGCATGCGAAGTGTTTACCGACGAATGAGAAGTTTTGGCTTGTTTTCATACCGGCCACACTGGGTCCTCCCTTTGACTCGAGAACACCGACGTAATCGCCTTGAGTGGTGCAGACAACGGTCACTCTGGGATCAGGAATGGAACAGTATTGTCTTTAGTGACGAGTCTCGATTTTATTTAGGCATGCACGATGGTCGTGCCAGGGTTAGAAGGCGACGTGGTGAAAGAAGGAATCCACAGTTTTTTGTTGAAAGACATGTTCATCACACTGTTGGAGTTATGGTTTGAGGTGCTATAGCTTACGGTTCCAGGTCACCTTTAATCTTCATCAGAGGTAACATGAACGCGCAGCGTTATATCCACGAAGTTCTAGAACCCCATCTTTTACCCTATCGTGACACCCTGGCAGATCCAACTTTCCAACAAGATAATGCTCGACCACATGTTGCAAGAGTCACAATAGACTTCTTTCAACATAATGATGTCACATTGTTACCATGGCCACCAAGATCTCCCGACTTATCCCCAATTGAGCACGTGTGGGATGTGATGGGTAGGAGATTGCTCAATTTGCAACGTCCTCCTCAGACTCTAGAAGCACTTCGAGAGGAGTTGGTGGTTGCCTGGAATGAGATACCACAGGAGGACATTGACCACCTGATCAGAAGCATGCCTAGGCGCGTTGGAGAATGCGTAGCACATCAGGGTGCATCCACACATTATTAAAGGTCAAAGGGCTTTAAAGCAGTGCAATCATTTTGAAATTTTGATCATTTACTTATTATGCTTCATTAATTACTTATACAAAATTTTATTAAAATAAAACCATTTAAACTGGGTGTTCGGATTTATATGTCACTTAGTATAAAAATGTTCATATTGTTCGGATCCTGATACGACAAAAAAAGCCTGGAATGTCTTCAACATTTTATCAGCGTATACCTTCATGATAGCAAATATGTTACAAGTTTTTATCAAAATTCAATAAACAATTCTGTGTTGTATTTTATATGTAATTGTTATACACATATGATTGATTGTTAGTTATTAAGATATAATCCACGCCTTCTGTTTTTTTCATATTTATTTGACAATTTTTTGTATTTTGCGAATAAATATCATTATTAATAAATAATTGTGTATTACCGTTTGACCGAACATTTGTATTTAAAATAATTCAAGTGACTCACCCCTATAATTAAAAAATTCAATAACCGATCGATGCTCGTCCGCTTGAACTTGCTCTTGCCGCTGTTCTGCATTAGCTTGGTGTCCTTGCCGGCGAATATGACCACTCCGTAGCACCATTGCGTGTTCCTCAGCACGCATCCTCTCAGCATGATCTTGTCGTTGTCCAACGAGTACCGTTTCCCTTTCCATATTAGCACGCCTTCGAACTTGTTCAGCAGATTGTTGGGCATCTCGCAGGCGATCTCGCCGTCGAATTCCGACAGCAACGCGTCGTCTTGGCCCATCTCCGCCGTTTCCGGCAGGCATTGACGGCACTTCAAGTTCGTCTCGCTGGAATTGAAAACAAACATTGATTGACGATTTGAACGAGAAGGATGTCAATACAAGTTATGTTATCCATCGATCATGCGATGTACAATTGTTTCCGCATTACAACAAACGACATGACGCTTTATGCTTACAGTATCGGACAAAATTAGAGATACTAGACCAATTATGACTTTTATGGAATACAGAAATACAGGGTGTAAACATTATGATAGTCATTATTTAAATGGGTGATACAGGGGGTTAAAAGAAACAAAAAGTTTCATATAACATGGGGGTCAAAACGGCATTTTTTTAGAGAAAAGCGACTTTAAAGTAAAATAAAATCTGACAACGCCGCAATGCCCGACGCAAATTACAACGGAACGCAGTGTAAATAAAGATGGAGTTTCTGTTCGATGTCAATCTTGTAATAGCTTTTGAAAGATGGCTGATATTTATTGTTTGGAATTGTCTCATAGTAGAATCATAAGTTACTTGCATGTGACAGTAAATAAATACATTAATGATTTCCAAATTCCAAGTATTTTAACAAATATAGCACAAAACATCGATGAACTTAATTTATGTACACACAGTTCTGATGCAAAATTTCGAATTTTTAATATGAACATAAGGAGTATAAAACACAAGATTGTTTACTTAAAAATACTACTCGACCAAATATGGTACAATTTTGATCTAATAGTTTTAACTGAAACGTGGCAAGTGGTTGATATTTCTTGCTTCAATCAGCAGGGATATGACACGCTCTATAACTTTGGCACTTATAACCAAAACGATGGGGTGATAGTTTTTGTAAGAAATAAACTGCAATATAATCATGATACATTCAATTTCACCGATGGAATCAAAATTTTAAACATAATGATCCAAATTAACCATAACAAAATTGAGGTATCTGCAATTTATCGCCCGCCATGTTCAGAACCCCACGAGTTTTTGAAGAATATCGATTTTTTTTTCAAAATCAAAATAAAGTTCATTTAAAGCAACATATTTTCTTGGGAGATGTCAATATAAATATTTTGGACGATGATCCCATCACAAATGAATACTTGAATATCCTATCAAGTAACGGATTTCTGTCCTATATAAACCTACCTACAAGGTCCATCAGTGGCACATGTATACATATAGATCACTGCTTTGTGAAAGACCTATCCAACAAAATTACTTGTATACCAATAATCCTAGAAAGCGATATTACTGACCACTTCTCCACTATTTTACTGATATCTTCAAATGAAAAACATTCTAACATCCCTACCGTTAATAACAACCAGGAAAATACAAATTTTTTGTCGACAATTCAAAACTAATATCAAATGTCAAACAAGAATCCTGGGAACAATTATACTCTATAAATAATATAGACAAAGCAACGGGACTGTTCATAGAGAAAATAAAAAAACTAATAGATATTAGTACCAATAAAGTAATAATTAGTCACAAAGAGAAAAGCAGAAATGCCTGGATTACCAAAGGATTAATAACATCGGCAATAGAAAAAGAAAGACTATATAATGTAATGAAACTAACGCCAACTACAGAGAATACCGACTGCTACAACCAATATAAAAATAAATTTATAGAGCTTGCAAGGCAAACCAAACAAAAACATTACCTAAATAAATTGAATAATAACTTAAATGATCCTAAGCGGCTTTGGACAACTATTGATGAGATTACTGGGAAAACAAAATTTAAAGAGTGTGTCACTGAGTTAAATACAACATCGGGAACATTATTAAATAATACTCAACAGATATGCGATGAATTTGTACAATTCTTTACTGACATAGGCGAAAATTTAGCAAGTAATATACAAGCAAATGTACAAAATACTCAGCCTCCAAAAAGAACTTTGAACTCATTTATTTTGGATAAATTCGAGCAATGTTATGTCCTTAAAAAATCGGAAAAGTCCTGGGTTCGATCGAATCAACAAATGCTTTGAATCTGGCATATATCCCTCAATTTTAAAAAAAGGTAATATAATACCGATACATAAATCAGGAACAAAAACAGATGTTAACAACTATAGACCAATATCAATAATATCCAGTGTAGCAAAGGTTTTTGAAAAGGTTTTATCTACTAGAATGATTCGATACCTCAAAAAATTCAAAATTTTAAGTGTAAATCAATATGGATTTACAGAAGGGAAGGCTACATCGGACGCAATAACTAAAATTGTAAATCAAATACATCAAAATATTGATAACAGAATCCCTTCAATCTGCATTTTTGTTGATTTAAAGAAAGCTTTCGACACAGTTAATCACAAATTATTATTAGAAGCATTGGAGAGAATTGGTTTCAGAGGAAACGCGTACTCACTGATCGAAAATTATTTGTCAAATCGCCCAAAATCTGTGCAGATATCAGGATCATTTAGTAAAGAAATGTATATTAAAATTATTCGGTGGTTTAACAGTAGAAAATTAAGCATTAACTACTCTAAAACACATTTTTTACCATTTGGATCTTATGCTAGACATCTGCCAAATTACACAAATTTCTCCTTCAACACCATTGATCAAAAAATGGAAATTAATACAGTGCCCAACATAAAATACCTTGGAGTGGTCTTGGATCCTCACTTACGATGGGACATCCATGTCAATTATATTTTAAAGAAAGTTAGATTTGTATCCTACAAAATTAAATACCTTGGGAATATATTGACAGAAAAATATCTTCGAACATTATACCATGCACTGATTGAGCCTCATCTCACATATGGTATATTAGCATGGGGAGCTACATGTTCCTTACATATCTATAATTTAGATGTTTTTCAAAAAAGTATTCTAAAAATGATATTTAAAAAACCGAAACTTTATCCCACTGAAAAATTATACGCAGATGTTCGAATGTATGACATAAGACAGCTTTATTTCTTACACATTTTACATAAATTTGTAAACACCGACCAAAAAATTAAACATAATCATTATACCAGGTACAAAATTCGCGGCACAGTAGTTCCTCAACCGCATAAATCTATAATGCAGCGATCATATCTCTATTTAGCGCCTAAATTTTATGAAATTATACCTAAAGACTTAAAAGATTTACGTTTCGGGAATTGTTTCAAAAGAAATTTAAAAAAGTGGCTACATTCTATATCTAGGACTGAAATTCATAAACTCATAAATACGAACATCAACTAAATACATAATCTACTGTAGCTAATTTTTGTCCTTTTTTGTCATTTGCATTCTACAGTTTCAACTTAAATTATTGGTCCATGTACAGGCGATGCCTTCTATTCGGCCTGTTCTGATTTTATATTTATTTACTCGTATTGTTTGTTATCTTTGTACATTGAGTGAATAAATATTATATTATTATTATTATTAAATCGATCTTAGCTCGTGAAAAGTTTGTAATGCTAAATAAATCTTCAACAAAAAGTACATAAAACAGTCTCTCTAATTTTGTCCGATAATGTACATTTTTGGTATAGATACATTTTTAAGCGATCTGAAGCATTCGTGGTGGAGTAAATAAAAAAAAACTGTAGCAAAGAGCGAGGGAATGGAATGAGTTTACAAGTAGCACCAACATACCCGTCCAACTCGGAAGTTTCGATGTAGCACAATCCATTCGGCTCGCTGGACGTCAGCAACAAGATGTCGGCAGCAATGAAGGAGTTGTTGTCCATGCGGATGATGTCCCCCACTTGAACAGCGCTCCATTTTTCGTTCACCAAACGGCCTTTCCTCACCACTCGCGATTTGCGGTTGTTCACTTGCGAGTCGGAAATGTGGCGTTGCTAGAAAGATACATAACGTACAGTTCGTATTAGAAATTCACGAATTAATAACGCTTGAATTAGTCGCACTGGATCAGATTATGTGTTTGATATCATGGAGTTATTCAACTCTGGTGCCATAAGTTTCATCATTTGAATGACGCACAGAGACGTTCATTTCAGCTGGGCGGTTCAATAAGTACCCGTGTTTGACGACAGAGGGCGTTCCTGAGGGAAGTTAATGTTATCATCGCGTGCTGCCATCTATCAAAGGACGGCACAACAAATTTCAGACTGATTGATATTTTAGGTTTTTATCGTCTCATTCCCGTGCGCATTTGCATCACGTAGTAATATCCCAAAAAATCCCATATCGGCACAGGACACATAATTCTGACAGATCCGTCAACGCCAGGTAGACAGAGCCGAATTTTGTTTTGATTTTTTCTACGCTACAGAATCATTTTGTACTTGCTAATTATTTAGAAAGGGTCATTTGCACACAAAAAACATTCACGTATAAACAGGTTTTATTAGATTCATACCCGATTAATTATTGCCAAAGGCAGACTAACACAAAAATGTCACTTGCTGATCAGCTGATCACCTCAGTAGACGTCAAAGCGTGATGGATACTCGTGAAATAGGATATAGAGCAGTTCGGGAGCGTCACACTCCGGGTGCATACGAGGGTGGTTCAATAAGTACCCGTATTTGACGACAGAGGGCGTTCCTGAGGGAAGTTAATGTTATCATCGTGTGCTGCCATCTATCAAAGGACGGCACAACAAATTTCAGACTGATTGATAGGTTAGTTTGGATTTGGCAGCCATCCGAGTAACAAGTGTTTCGTGATTTTCGCTAAGATGGAAAAAGAGCAGTATCGTTCGGTAATTCGCTTTTTGTTTTTGTATGGGAAAAATGCGAGGAGATAAAAGCAAAGTTGGATGCTGTTTATGGGAACACTTCGCCATCTATGACCACAGTTAGATATTGGTTCAACGAATTTAAACGTGAGCGAACATCCATTTTTGATGAGTATCGACCCAGGACACCCGGCAGACGTGGTTGCCGAGGAAGTCATTCAAAAAGTCCACGACATGATTCTCGCTGATCGACGAACGAAAGTGCGCGAAGTAGCGGAGGTGTGTCGACCGGAACGGCAATCAATACAGGGTGTCCGCAAAGTTGGGGTTTTCCTTTTCAGAAACTACCCTTGAAATGACAAAGGTGATGTGTAGTGAAACGAGGGCGACCAAGTAAAAAAAAATAAAGGAAAAAGTACTCACTCTCCAGTTGACGAGAAGGGCTAAGTACGTCTCTGCCCGAAATCATACCGCTCCAACAGAAAATGAAATCAGTTGATGCGCTACCGAGCAGACGCAGAAACTACATTGATTGTCTTACACTTAGCGACACATCTTCTAACAAGGAAGGCAAAATGTTGCGTAAAAAGTCTAGGTATTGCATCCCGTCCAATCGATTTGGGAGAATAAATGGTCCAATGAGCATACCGTTCACCATGCCAGCCCAAACATTCACCGAAAATGTTTGTTGAAAATGTGCCCGACGGACAGCGTGCGGATTTTCTACTGACCAAACATGAGTGTTGCGAAAGTTATTCACCCCATTACGCGTGAACGTAGATTCGTCTGTCACCAATATGCACTTCAAAAAGTCCGGATTATTCTCATATTGATGCAACAACCACTCACAAAACCGCACTCTTGCTGGAAAATCGTCAGGTTGAAGGGCTTGGACACGTTGGACGTGAAACGGATACAGCCTCTCTTCACGCAGCGTTTGCCACACTTTAGTTTTTGATACTTGCACTTCTCTAGCCACGTCTCTAGTGCTTGTTGAGGGATTCTCGTCTACGCGATTACCTCTACACGCGTGACCGTAACCGTCGGTTGAAGGTTGCATACTGACCTGACACACTGACCCCGACCCAGTTCTGTCGTCGGGTTGAGCCAGTGACCTTGTACCAGTCGGTGATGTCGTGGCTACAGGACGGTATTCAGATATTTTTGATGTTGCAGAGCCCTTTATCTCGGTTCCCTTAAGACATTGGTGTATATGGTACTAAGAAAAATTGCTTATGTATTCAAGATCTACACGTCGTGTAAAGGAAAACCCCAACTTTGCGGACAACCTGTATTTTACATGATTCGTTTGCTATGAAAAAATTGTCGGCCCGATGGGTGCCGCGATTACTCACGGTGAACAACAAGCGAATGCGGCTTTTAACTTGGAAGCAGTGTTTGAGAAATTTAAGCGAAAGGAGTTTTTGCATCGAGTTGTCACCGTCGATGAAACCTGGATTAATTATTGCATACCAGAAACTAAGCAACAATCAAAACAATGGATTTCTCCCGGTGAATCTGCTCCAAAGAAAGCGAAGACGGTCCTATCGTCCGGAAAGGTTTTAGCGACGATTTTTTGGGATGCGAACGGCATCATCCTCGTGGATTTTTTAGAAAAAGGAAGAACGATCATTGGACAATACTATAGAGAGTTATTGGACCACTTCGACTAAAAATTTGCAGGAGACACGGCCACATTTGAATAAAAAGAAGGTGCTGTTTCACCACGATAACGCACCAGCACATTCATCCGGAGTTGTCGCCGCCAAACTGCATGAATTGCGTTATGAAGTGCTGCCGCACCCCTCGTATTCACCCGATCTGGCCCCCTGCGACTTTTTGTTGTTCCCTGACATGAAGAAACGGCTCGTGGAGCATTTAGCTCAAACGAGGAAGTCATCGCCGAGACCGGCGTATTTTGGAGAGTTCGACAAATCCTATATTTTGAGAGGATTAAAAAAATGGCAGGAACGTTGGGAAAAGAAGATTATGTTGAAAAATAAAATGAAATTTTTTGGAAAACATGGTGTTTTCATTTCTAACACGGGTACTTATTGAACCGCCCTCGTAAAGAGTTTTAACACTTATTACCGAAGTCTAATACTCAAACACCTGCTAGTAAACATTGAAACTGCTGGTACAACTTTTGAGTTGATAAAAGAAAGTACGTCATTTAATGTAGTTTCGGATATCCTCAAAAATGAGAATTTATTCAAATTGACTGATAATGGAAACATTTATGATTTTCTGAACCTAGAGGAAAGTTTGTATGTTGAAGATCCAGTTGAAATACAAGAACTTTCTAAAGTTCCTGATGTCGATGAGGGTTTTAATACCTACAGAATCTATTCCCCTGACCAAGCAGCTCAAACAGTCTTTGGAACTTCTTTCTAACTTAGAAATACGATTTCAAGACGCCATTTTTAAAGAAAAAGCGGAGACAAACGATATTTGAATTCTGCGTCATTAAAGTGACTTTTTATCTCATTGTACTATTCGTCATTATTCGTCAGAGCGGTCCGGTGGACCTTTGCTCTTAGTTAAAAGTCTCGTCTGTTAGTTTGTCAGGTCTCAGTACCAAACATGTTTAAGGGGAAAAGGGAAAGCAGGAAAGAAAGGAAGGCAGAAATAGAGCAAAGAAAAGAAGTAAATCATTTGAAATAGCTTAAGCATTATTGCTTTGACTACTCGAATTATTTTGTAACTCCAAAAAATAATTTTGATCGGTTTTGTATACTGAAATAATTTTGGCTGGTCTGAATGTACAATTTAATTTTGATCACAGTGCGAGGCGCGGCCTGGAATGTTTGCGAACTTGCTCGACTGTGTAGTCTATTGAATCACGCAACAGAGGGAAGATCATAATTGGGAGAGAGCTGCCTTTCCATGACGTCAGCAAAAACCTCCACTTTATCCTCAGTCCTGAAAACTATGCCTCCAGGACCATGAATATGCGGTAGTTGTTCTTGCCTTCCGTTTCTGAGCGATTTTGCCACTTTCCAGAGAGGATCCCCGCCAGAAAGCCGCTCCACTGCTCATTGCGGTATTCATGGAGTGCATTTCTCACTTCATGGGCGAGATTCGTCGCTCTACGGATGTCATCAGGATGTTATTTCATTGTTTTGTGTTTCTACATGTGTACAGTAGCGGACAAAAGTTTGGAAACAAATATCAACATTATTATAACTATTTCATATACTTAAATTAAAATTGTGAAGGAACAGATAATATAAATATTAAAGTCTACCTTTGGCCCCGTACTAATACAAGGTTTATCTTACCAATATTTAAATTTTATGAAAATAAAAACATGCGTTTTTTTAAATACCACAGTGTTTGTAACGACAAAAGTATGTAAACATTTCAGTTTTGCCGTATTTATTCGTTCTGCGATACTGCGTGCAGTAAATATTAAATCAGTGAAAATGGAAAAAGTAAAAGAATTTTCAAAAGATTTAAGAGACAAATTGAATCATTTAGAAGTGGTGTCAGAAATGTTGACATTTCTTAACTATTAAAAATGAACAAAGGGACGATTTCGAAAATTATTAGTAAATATCAAGAATACGGATCAACAGCAACGCGGTCCAGGTGCAAAAGCCTCTAATTTAAAAAATATCGTATTGTTCGGCTTGAATTTGCTAAAGCTCATCTAACTTGGACAGAAAAACAATGGAATACACTTTTATGGAGCGATGAAAGCAAATTTGATTTGTTTGGATCTGACGGTACGGCATATGTGAGAAGATTCCACAAAAAGTATCAGTTGCCAACAGTTATGCACGGTGGAGGCATCATGGTTTGGGGCTGTTTTTCTAGTTCTGGAACGGGATCAATTGTTAAAATTATTGCAAAAATGGATCAAAAACTTTACAAAGATATTCTTAGTGAACACATGCTCTATTTTGCTGAAGGATAAATTCGTTTACGATGGACATTCCAGCAAGATAATGACCTCAAGCATACCTCAAAATTCGTAAAGGACCGGTTAAGACTAACAAATGTTAATGTTCTTACATGGCCTTCGCAATCCACGGACCTAAACCCTATAGAGCATCCCTGGAGGCATGTTAAGAGACAACTGATAAGAAAAACCTAAAAAAAATAAGAACAATTTATTTGATCATGCAAAATATCCCAACAGACGTCTGTAAAAAATTGGTGTCTTCTATGAGCAGCAGATTTCAGGCAGTGTTGAGTGCTAAAGGCTATGTACCAAATATTAGCTTAACAGTATTTTTAAAATCTTTTTCTAAAGTTACTGTATTTAATTTTGTAATAAAAAATATGATTCCATACTTTTTTCGTCTCATTTTTGGTCATAATATAATATGATGGTATTTTAATGCTAGTCTATAGTACCACAGCAAACACAAACTGTCATTTGAATCCTCAAGCAAACTATGTGAGAAAAAATAGTCCTTAATAATAAAGAATAAAAAATTAGCGCACTTTTTAACAATTACTAAGAATGTTTCCAAACTTTTGTCCGCTACTGTATGTACATACATATATTATACATAGTATGTACATACTTTGTATACACATACCTATATCTAAAGGTAACAAATCTTTTTTTAAGTTTACTTGTTTTGTTATTTTTATATTATACGTTTTAAATTTCCCAGTTTCTTTATTATATTCAGCTTTCTTTAAAACACGATTTTTGTTGCACTCGTATTTCTTCACAGTCGGTCTCGTTGGTGTCCTTGCAAAAGAGATTCAGTGTATATGATTTTTCGCATTGGAAAATGACACCCTATCAGCCCCATTCGTCTGATCTATTAGGGACATCCTGTATGTCTTCATCAAAACAGAAAAAACTTCCAGACTTCACTTACAATTTGGAAGCAAACAACAAGAAATTCCATCGAGTTTATTTGCAGTATTTCAGAATATTTTTCTGAGAATATAAGTACTCCAGGGATAATAATAATTAAGGTTTATGAATTCGTGCTGTTGCCAATGCAATTATTTTAGGTATCGATTTCGAATCGACGTGTTACTATTACAAATCTCCAACTGAACGTGGTTAACTTTTAATAGCATCTGAAATAACAAAACAAAATGGTGCGATTCAATAACAAAAGGCAATAAATCCGCAAAAATACACATGCAACTGCCAAAGTAAGTAGTCTGATCTGGTTTAACAGTTCAAAGCCGCTTTCCAGTGCTTTTGAATTGAATGATGTACGAGGCCGGTTCAATAAGTACCCGTGTTAGAAATGGAGACACCAAAAAAAAATGTTATTTTTCAACATAATCCCTTTTCAGAAAGATACACATTTCTTAACGTTCCTGCCATTTTTTCACGAAACAACGTCAATATCCATCGATTGCAGTCCTTCTTCGGTGATCGCGTAATTTCGCGCAGAGAAAATGTGCCATGGCCACCAAGATCGTGCGATTTGACTCCCTTGGACTTTTTTTTATGGGGATATTTGAAAAGCAAAGTCTACGGAAACAAACCAGCCACCCTCCAAGAACTCAAAAACAACATCATTGCCGAGATAAATGCCATAGAACCGACCATGTTGCAAAATGTCATTGAAAATTTCGACCAGCGCGTGGACGTCTGTAAATCCAGTCGTGGTGAACTTTTGAGCGATATTATTTTTCATACATAAATGGTATAAATGAACCTTTAAAATAAAGTACCCAACTTGATTTGAATATCAATCTTTCTTGTTTGAATATGCGTTTACTTTCCTGCATCCGTTTTGGACAACCCTATAGTTTAATGCGACATCCTAAGCCGGAATCATTTTCCACACTACGAGAACGTTTTGAATCAAGTGGAGCAAAAATGTATAAATAATCCAAGTGTCACTAATGATTGTTATTAGTTTTTACGTCAAATCTGTACTCTTAGTGGCAATATGGAAGTATTTGTTGCGATGGATGATGTGAATTTTTTCCTTAATTTTGGTGTTGTTCTATTAAAATCTTAATAACTCAAAATCTAGTGATATTATCTGAATCAAACCTTATACCAAAAAAAAGCTTACACAAAATTGAATTCAAACTTGCACAAATATATAGTGTGATGCATTTGAATTTTTTTGAGAAAAAGTACAATTCGCGTTTTTTACCACCCTGTATGAGCAAAAATGAAAATTCGGAAAAGTAACAAATAAGATAGAAGCTGAGGTGTGTATGTTTTTTTTTATACAAAATTCAGCACTCCAAATTTCAAAATGGCGGATTGACGGGTTGTCGAAGTGGACGGTTTTTCTGGACAAAACACCGTACATCTCAGTATTACCAAAACCCCATAGTATGCTATATCAATCTTCTTCTTTTGAATTGGTTCATCCAAATATGCAATAAAATTTGAGGCATTAGATTTAAAAAATCACAACTTTGAGATGTAGGTCAAAATTGATAATTGCCAATATTTTAGAAATGTGCCCTCATGTGTCATGAATAGATTTTTCTCAAAATGTATTTGTTTATGAGTAATATTCCGTCCACACATGGATGGACCACCCTGTAGAGGTTTTCCTAGCCGCACACATTTGATCTTCATTTGACCTTTAGTATCCATCCTGACCTTGGACTTTAATGCTGTTTGAACGTAAAATTTTCTGTTCTTTCGATTGCCGGCATCAAAAATAGAGGTGTCTACTTTAAAAAATAAAGTTCACCATAAAATAACATCAAGGTCAAATTCAAGGTCACAGTTGAATTCCTTGATGAAAGGTACTGAAGACGGAACTTTTGTGTCACGCTTTTTTTCTGGATTTACCGATGAATATCAATATACTCACAATATCATCGTAGGCATCTTTGACAGCTGTCAGTCCGAGTACTCCGATCAGAGGTAGGGCAGTAGTGACGGGCGTTAAACTGCTGATGGCCGGTATCAGTTGGAGAACGAGAAGGCACAGGAAGTAGAAGTTGGCGAGACGCTGGAACTGCTCGAACAAGTTCAAAGGCAGGAACGTCAAGATGGAATACTTGGACGTCTTGATGTAGTTACTCTGAAAAAAAAACACAACTACTGCTCAATTGGGAGTCTGAGCCATAGCGATAAAAAGTAATAGCCACTTAAGGTATAATAAAAACGGTACTATAAAAGATTTGCAATATGACTTAACAAACGGACGCAGGAGGCTGCATGTTGAGACGTGTCCATGAGTGCATAGTAGCCGCCAGCAGCTCGCCTATTGATTTAGTACTAATTTATTTTATTATATTGACATTGTAAAGTGGCAGCGTGGTCACGCAGTGAGATAAGGGCAATTTTACGGTATTTTCAATTTCACTAAATATCTTCAAATCATCTGCGAAAAATAGCTTCAATTTAGCAGCAGTGCCAGGTCGTTAAGATCTACAGGGTGTAAACGTTATGGTAGTAATTATTAAAATGGCTAATAGAGGGGATCAAAATAAGTCAAAAAGTTCATATGACCCATGGTCCTAAAGTCAATAGATTTTTGTCTAAATGGCTTTATAACTAGTTTACAACTTTAAGTGCTTTATATCGACCACAATGACCACAATCTTACTAATTTTTATAATCTAATCTAAAACGTTTTTAAATTGGGTAATTAACAAATAAATGGCATTAAATTTTTCTAAGTTAAGCCAAAATTTGTAGTCAGTAAGTAAATTTCATTATATTGAATATTTAAAACACACATGACAACAGCGCGTCGGCCTTTCATCACTCTTATCGAACCGGCAATTGATCGCAAACGGTAATAGTGGTTTACACCCTGTATTATGAATAATAGGGGCCCTAGATTTGATCCTTGAGGCACCCCTGAAGTAGGGGTACGAGACATTGAGCTGGAAACCCCCATACTCGATGATGTGTGGTCGGTCTATACCACTGATTCCCAAAGTGGTCTACATCGACCCCTAGGGGTCTATGATAACCTGCAAGGGGTCTACGTCAGCGAAAAAAAATTTGGGGGTCCATGAAATGAATATGGGGGTCCACGATAGTGGATCTCAACACATACACTGATAGTACCTATTTACTTACATCATACTATCTTATAATATCAAAACATATACATTATTTATAAAAGTACCTATGAAGTAAAAAATTTATTATATATGTTTGTAAAATTGTGTAAGTTGTAGGATGTTGGTATTCGCTTTGTGGTCGCAATACATTTTGAACTTGTAAAAACCTGAGAGTCGCAGTCTCAGAGCTTCGCTACCTTGCACTGACTTGTTCAATTCGTCACTCTATAAATACGAATGTGGGACAAATACGTTTATTCGTTTCCTGAATCTTGAAAAGGAAAGTGCTAAGAAAACATTTTAAAAAATATAAACGGATAGTATATCACACAAATTATAGTGAGTCAGTGTTATTTTGTTTGAGAGTGCTGGAGAAAAGTAAGTACATTATTTTTTATTAAATTTTAGTTTTGTACTCGTAGTTACCAAAGATAGATAAATTACGCCAATTATGACTTTAGTTATTAGTAGTTAAATATTCAATCATGCAAAATTACACGAGTACTTCTCAATAGTTTCTTTTTGAAAGTTTTAGCAATCGGTAATATAATTACAGTGCAATCTCTGTAATTCGAGCTAATTGTTGCAAAAAGATGTTCGAATTATGGAATGTTTTCGGAAAAATCAAAAAATATTTTTAATATACATCTGCTGGATTTTCTGTCTTATTTAAATAATTTAATTTTGCCCACAGATGACTGATGCCATGTCCGAATCTAAAAAGAAATGTAGACAGTACAGTGCTGATTATTTGAAATTTGGCTTCATTCCATCATTGCCGGACAAACAATCGCCTATGTGCCTTTTATGCAACAAAGTTTTGGGCAATGACGCTATGAAACCATCTAAACTGCAAGATCATCTGAGAAGATGCCACCCTGATAAAACAGAGAAAGATTTGAAATACTTTCAAACACTCAAAGATAAATTTCAGAAGAGACCTACACTGGACAGAATGTTCGCTTCGACGTCACAAAGAAATGATGATGGTTTGCGGGCGTCTTACAATATCTCGTTACTTATAGCAAAATCCGGAAAACCGCATACTATCGGAGAGAAGTTAATTTTGCCAGCCGTTGAAGAGGTTTTAAAAACTGTTTTACACAAACCTGCATCTGATATCATTAAAAGAATTCCCTTAAGCAACAATACTGTTGAAAGACGTATTGATGAAATGAGTTCTGATATTGAAAGCTTCTTATGTAATTATTTGCAAACGACCCATTTCTCTATACAACTGGACGAGTCAACTTTACCTGATAATGCAGCATTATTATTGGCATATGTTCGTTTTATTATAAATCAAGAAATCTAGGAAGAACTGCTCTTCGCAAGAACTTTGATAACCGACACTAAAGGTGAATCAATATTTCATGTTTTGAAGGATTACTTCTTTGAAAAAGCAATTCCTTTATCAAATATAATATCAGTAGCTACAGATGGAGCACCTGCCATGGTTGGACCTTATCGTGGATGAAAATGACAACAAAACACTTTCATCAATTACTCCTTCACACTGAAGTACGCTGGCTGTCGAAAGACAAGATTTTTTGCACTTTTTGAGACTATTTTAGAATTTCTGGATACTAAAGGTAAAATTTTAAAAGAAAATTTAATGAAGAGGAAAACAGACATCGCCTATTTAACAGATTTGTTTACAAAATTTAATATGGTTAATTTGCAATTACAAGGCGACAGTTTAAATTTGATTAAAACAAAGTCCATCTTATCAGCGTTTCTTGCCAGAGTTAAACTAATTAAGCACAATATTGGACGGGGCGAATTTTCTCAGTTCCCTAATTTGTCACAGACAAGCTGCCAGGAAGACGTTTCAACTTACGTTCAACATTTAAATGCCCTCTATTCAGATTTTGAATCTAGGTTTGAGGATATTTTGACTATGGTAATACCACCGTGGATAATTAATCCATATGGTGACATAGAAGAAACGAATGTCATAATACAAGAGGAACTGACTGAACTAAGTACAAACGAAGAACTTAAGGTTCAGTTTAAAAACGGATATCAGCAATTCTGGCTGCAAAACAACATAGCCGTTACTTATCCCGTATTATGGAACATAGCGATGAAATTTTTAATTTCCTTTCCATCGTCATACCTAGTGGAAAGGGGGTTCAGCGCTGTTACCAATCTCCTAACGAAAAAAAGAAACAGACTGGACACTATTAGCCGAGGAGATTTAAGATTAACCCTTACAAAATTGACGCCAAATATTGATAATTTATTATTAAAGCATCAGGTTCATCCTTCTCACTAAAAATATTGACTTATTGCTTATGTTATTTTATTTATAGTTTATTTTATGTTTATTGGTGTCTGACCAATAAATGTCCGCATTGGGAATAAGGGCCCGCATTGATTTTTTTAAAGAACCCCCCTTTATAGAAAATATTTTTTTTAAATTATTCTGAAAATTCAAGGATAGCTACACACTAAAATTCGTTAATTTTTTGCCTATTTTCAGATAACTTAAACGTATAAGAAGCGAAATTTAATCAAACTAACAGTTAAATTATTGTAGAACATACGTTTATGTTATAATTAATAAACGAACTCGCTTATCGTACTATTTTAAGTAAAAAACTTTTTTTTTATTATTTTTCACTTTTTTTTATCCCTCTTATTTTTTTTTTCAATGCGGGCACTTATTGGTCAGACACCTGTTTATTTAATGTTACGTATATTTTACATAACAGATACAAAATTTTATTTTGAGTAGTTTTAATTTAAATTCAATTAATAAATGTATAAATTAACATGTGCTTTTACTTTAAGTTTTTAACACTAAACTTCACTACAGTTAGAAATTTACAGGAAATCAATATCAGGTAAGTAGGGGGTCTACCCAACACGGAAAAACATGGCAGGGGGTCTACGACACAAAAAAGTTTGGGGAACTCTGGTCTATACGATAAGACTGCATCAGGGAAATCAGGGACATTATTGCAGTTGTATTTTAGCATTACTGATGCATTTTCTTGTTAACCATAGCAATCTGCTGCTCGCTGTTTATGCATGGGAGCCGAGCAAAACATTGTAAGTGAAAAAGTGTATTAACAATTTAAACACCTCTTATCGTGATCCATAGCATGTTTGTAAACCGTAATTTTTTCGCTGTAAATATTTGCGTTTTCAAGCATAAATAAATGGTTCAATGAATTCATCATTTTTATTCTGGGTGTCTCAAGGAGAAATTGCCAACCACATATCCGATATGCGTAAGAGTGAAATGGGACCTTGGGACCTTTGCCGTATATAATTTTTGTGAAAGACTTCAGTTAAGCCACAGGATAGTTCCATTTAACAGGTCAACTTTGTAAAATTTAACAGCTGCTTAAAGTGGAATGGAAGGCCCAGCCGTAGAGATTCTTTCAAACAGCTAGAAATATTAACTTTGTGAGCCATATACAGGGCTATTAATTATGTACCATAAATTTAACAGGCGATTCAATGAGTAATTTTTAAGTCAAAAAGTTCATATAAACATATGTCCGCAAATTATTCATTCTCAAGATATATGGTGTTAAAATAAAAAAAAAAGGTTTTCCGTAAATATTCTTCACCTAATTTTATTGTAATTTGGCGGTGTTATTTATAGCATTGATGAGCTAATTTAGCCCTCACTTGATTAAATTTATCAAGTCCAGTGCCATCTCAAGCGGGATCTGAATAAATATTTGTGACAAAACAATGTACGCCACTGAGTTTTGTGCAATTTTTATTATGTGCTTTGGATTACGCAACTATTTTGTCTCCTGGTTTTTTTATATGATGCTTAGTTTTTGAGAAAAATTATTTACCGACAATATCAGAGAAATTTGGTATTAGGTTGTTCAACAAATTGCTAAACAGCTTCAGAGCCCTGCAAGTCGCTTTTTTTCAAGCTTAAGCCTTAAGGCGCTATAATTATTAGGATGAACACTTGTCAGATATCCCGATAAACGATTAACATGTGTAATTTGATAACCCTGTTTATGATAGTCATCGCTGTGAGAGTCCCATATCTCGATTTTAACTATTACCTTTTTCATTCATTTTTATATACACATAACGTTTCCATGAATTCTATCCATTCTATCTATTTATCGAAGTTCAGTCATTTATTTTAACAGTGAGTAGATCTGATCAAAAGAAATGTTTTTTTCCTTTACCATTTTTCTGGTAAAATTAAAGTAACAAAGTATAGCCCTTTGGAAGTTTGAGTACCGCCCTGTCTCAATAATAATATTATGTGCTCGTGTTTGGCGACAACGGATATAATCCGCCTTATCGGTTCATCGCATCGGAAACAAAAAAGCGAAAGAATTTGGAACGATGTTTTTACAATTATTTTATTCAGTTGTATACAGTCAGTGTCAGTCGGTAACGCGTGAGTGAATAGTGGTGTCTGTTGCGTGGCTCAAACGAAATCAAAAATGGCACATGTTTACGAAAATACTGAACTTGTGAACAAGACCGCACGGAAATACTTGTCGGGAGGATACTTTATAAAACAAGGTAACATTTTTTTTTTATTTTTACACACATATTTTGGTTTATCTTCCTTCTACAATCATTATCTGAAAATTAATGACTCAACTTCAAAGTCATCCCTGTATATTTTGAATGGAACAATCTTTAGATCGTTACCTACTGCGATTCAATGTTCGTTTTCTTTCAATATTTGTCTTTTTTTTGAGTTATATTTAAATGTTTATTCATTTTTGTGACGAACATATTTTGATATCAGTTATTTACTTATTCGTTTTCTGTATATTTTTTGTATTTTTTAATTGTAGTATACGAGTGACGTATTCTATGTCATCCCATGATAATAATAATAATAATATTTATTCACTCAATGTACAAAGATAACAAACAATATGAGTAAATAAATATAAAATCAAAACAGGCCCAATAGAAGGCATCGCCTGTACATGGACCAATAAATTTAAGTTGAAACTGTAGAATGCAAATGTTCGTATTTATGAGTTTATGAATTTCAGTCCTAGATATAGAATGTAGCCACTTTTTTAAATTTCTTTTGAAACAATTTCCGAAACGTAAATCTTTTAAGTCTTTGGGTATAATTTCATAAAATTTAGGCGCTAAATAGAGATATGATCGCTGCATTATAGATTTATGCGGTTGAGGAACTACTGTGCCACGAATTTTGTACCTGGTATAATGATTATGTTTAATTTTTTGGTCGGTGTTTACAAATTTATGGTAGTGAGTGATACTGTGTAAGAAATAAAGCTGTCTTATATTATACATTCGAACATCTGCGTATAATTTTTCAGTGGGATAAAGTTTCGGTTTTTTAAATATCATTTTTAGAATACTTTTTTGAAAAACATCTAAATTATAGATATGTGAGGAACATGCAGCTCCCCATGCTAATATACCATATGTGAGATGAGGCTCAATCAGTGCATGGTATAATGTTCGAAGATATTTTTCTGTCAATATATTCCCAAGGTATTTAATTTTGTAGGATACAAATCTAACTTTCTTTAAAATATAATTGACATGGATGTCCCATCGTAAGTGAGGATCCAATACCACTCCAAGGTATTTTATGTTGGGCACTCTATTAATTTGCATTTTTTGATCATTAATATTGAAGGAGAAATTTGTGTAATTTGGCAGATGTCTAGCATAAGATCCAAATGGTAAAAAATGTGTTTTAGAGTAGTTAATGCTTAATTTTCTACTGTTAAACCACCGAATAATTTTGATAAAATCATTTTCAATTACATTTTTCAGATCAGACCAGTCAGTGCCTTCATATAATATTGCAGTATCGTCTGCAAAACTAGTTATTTTGCCAACACAATTAATTTGGAAAATATCATTTAAATATATATTGAATAACAGCGGACCTAAGACAGTTCCTTGTGGGACACCACACTTAATATACATTTCTTTACTAAGTGATCCTGATATCTGCACAGATTGTGGGCGATTTGACAAATAACTTTCGATCAGTGAGTTCGCGTTTCCTCTGAAACCAATTCTCTCCAATGCTTCTAATAATAATTTGTGATTAACTGTGTCGAAAGCTTTCTTTAAATCAACAAAAATGCAGATTGAAGGGATTCTGTTATCAATATTTTGATGTATTTGATTTACAATTTTAGTTATTGCGTCCGATGTAGCCTTCCCTTCTGCAAATCCATATTGATTTTCACTTAAAATTTTGAATTTTGTGAGGTATCGAATCATTCTAGTAGATAAAACTTTTTCAAAAACCTTTGCTACACTGGATATTATTGATATTGGTCTATAGTTGTTAACATCTGTTTTTGTTCCTGATTTATGTATCGGTATTATATTACCTTTTTTTTAAAATTGAGGGATATATGCCAGATTCAAAGCATTTGTTGATCAGGTAAGTGAGTGGTTCTGTTATGTCCTCGGCTATAATTTTCAAATGCTCGCTTTTAATACCATCGAACCCAGGACTTTTCCGATTTTTTAAGGACATAACAGTGGTGTATACTTCATATTGTTCGACTTTATCCAAAATAAATGAGTTCAAAGTTCTTTTTGGAGGCTGAGTATTTTGTTCATTTGCTTGTATATATTACTTGCTAAATTTTCGCCTATGTCAGTAAAGAATTGTACAAATTCATAGCATATCTGTTGAGTATTTTTTAATACTGTTCCCGATGTTGTATTTAACTCAGTGACACACTCTTTAACTTTTGTTTTCCCAGTAATCTCATCAATAGTTGTCCAAAGCCGCTTAGGATCATTTAAGTTATTATTCAATTTATTTAGGTAATGTTTTCGTTTGGTTTGCCTTACAAGCTCTATAAATTTATTTTTATATTGGTTGTAGCAGTCGGTATTCTCTGTAGTTGGCGTTAGTTTCATTACATTATATAGTCTTTCTTTTTCTATTGCCGATGTTATTAATCCTTTGGTAATCCAGGCATTTCTGCTTTTCTCTTTGTGACTAATTATTACTTTATTGGTACTAATATCTATTAGTTTTTTTATTTTCTCTATGAACAGACCCGTTGCTTTGTCTATATTATGTATAGAGTATAATTGTTTCCAGGATTCTTGTTTGACATTTGATATTAGTTTTGATTTGTCGACAAAAAATTTGTAATTTTCCTGGTTGTTATTTAATTAACATTAAAATTAAATTAAAATTAATTTTTTTTTTTATTTTTACACACAGATTTTGGTTTATCTTCCTTCTACAATCATTATCTGAAAATTAATGACTCAACTTCAAAGTCACCC